CCGTAACACCACTATTACCGGACCTGCTCACACAATGCCTGGTGGTAGTACTGCTCCATTTAGACCTCTCAACTGGGGCAGACGCAGCACTGCCAGCCCAGCACCCACCACATGTGCGACTGGGCACCTTCTGTCACACCAGGATACCACCCTCATGTGAATTAGTTCAGACTTGAGCACCTCTCTGGGTTTAAACTCCAGATCATACTGCTTCTCCACCAGTGCACCCCAGCAGCATTGTCGTGCTGTTGCAGCGGCGCCGGATATATCACATAAATTGGTTACGTCTTAGGACACAATTTATTCTCTTAATGCAAATTCGTGAGACACCACCTATTGTCCTAATGCCGACTATCGCTCTGATTGTTTTCTTGTTTACCGCTAATATTTCTCATTGTTTGTCGTGTCTGGCTCCTCTCCCCGCGTGAGCTTGCTCCGCAGAAATATAAAAGGACTATGTTCTCGAGCCGAGGCTAGCCTGTCTTTTGTTCCGAGATGGTTTATAGACCTCCCTGTTGTTCTAACTCCATCGAAGAACATTCAGTAATTTGTCTGACCGCGTCCTTTAAAACACTCTGGAATTGCGTATTATTACACGTAATACCTCTCTCTCTGTCTCTCACTCTCTCTCTCTCTCTCTCTCTCTCTCTCTCTCTCTCTCTCTCTCTCTCTCTCTCTCTCTCTCTCTCTCTCTCTCTCTCTCTCTCTCTCTCTCTCTCTCTCTCTCTCTCTCTCTCTCTCTCTCTCTCTCTCTCTCTCTCTCTCTCTCTCTCTCTATCTCTCTCTTTCAACACTTAAATCAGATAAAGTTTGTAGGGTCGGCTTACTCGATGTATATATATCTTGTCGTGTGTGGATGAGTGTGTGTGGATGTAGTACACTGTACATTTTACACTATACACTGTACAATGTACACTGTAATGTGTAATATTATGGACATGTTTAATAACCGAGAGAAAGAATTATCCTGTGAAGTGGCCCGGCAGTCAGTAGTTTTGCTTTGACTCTATTAATTACCTGTGTGCTGGGAAGCTGATTCCATTGTTGGTGAGTGTCAGATTTAGCCGCCACCTTTCAGCAGATGGTTTGTAAGCCCTGCCTGAACACCTCACTTTTCAGTCAGTCTCATTCAAATGCTCTAATTTTATCCAACCCACCTTAGGCACCATCACCTGACCTCTCTGTCCAGAGAAAATAGTGTGTTCTGGCGAGGGGGGGGGGGGGTAAAATGGGCATGTGTTTAAAATCAATTAAAACACATGCCCATTTGGAGAGGAAAGTGTGTGCTAGTCTGGAGAGGACAGTGTGTGCTAGTCTGGAGAGGATAGTGTGTGCTAGTCTGGAGAGGACAGTGTGTGCTAGTCTGGAGAGGATAGTGTGTGCTAGTCTGGAGAGGATATTGTGTGCTAGTCTGGAGAGGACAGTGTGTGCTAGTCTGGAGAGGACAGTGTGTGCTAGTCTGGAGAGGATAGTGTGTGCTAGTCTGGAGAGGATAGTGTGTGCTAGTCTGGAGAGGATATTGTGTGCTAGTCTGGAGAGGACAGTGTGTGCTAGTCTGGAGAGGACAGTGTGTGCTAGTCTGGAGAGGACAGTGTGTGCTAGTCTGGAGAGGAAAGTGTGTGCTAGTCTGGAGAGGATAGTGTGTGCTAGTCTGGAGAGGACAGTGTGTGCTAGTCTGGAGAGGACAGTGTGTGCTAGTCTGGAGAGGACAGTTTGTGCTAGTCTGGAGAGGACAGTGTGTGCTAGTCTGGAGAGGATATTGTGTGCTAGTCTGGAGAGGACAGTGTGTGCTAGTCTGGAGAGGACAGTGTGTGCTAGTCTGGAGAGGACAGTGTGTGCTAGTCTGGAGAGGATATTGTGTGCTAGTCTGGAGAGGACAGTGTGTGCTAGTCTGGAGAGGACAGTGTGTGCTAGTCTGGAGAGGACAGTGTGTGCTAGTCTGGAGAGGACAGTGTGTGCTAGTCTGGAGAGGATATTGTGTGCTAGTCTGGAGAGGACAGTGTGTGCTAGTCTGGAGAGGACAGTGTGTGCTAGTCTGGAGAGGATAGTGTGTGCTAGTCTGGAGAGGACAGTGTGTGCTAGTCTGGAGAGGACAGTGTGTGCTAGTCTGGAGAGGACAGTGTGTGCTAGTCTGGAGAGGACAGTGTGTGCTAGTCTGGAGAGGACAGTGTGTGCTAGTCTGGAGAGGATAGTGTGTGCTAGTCTGGAGAGGACAGTGTGTGCTAGTCTGGAGAGGACAGTGTGTGCTAGTCTGGAGAGGATATTGTGTGCTAGTCTGGAGAGGACAGTTTGTGCTAGTCTGGAGAGGACAGTGTGTGCTAGTCTGGAGAGGACAGTGTGTGCTAGTCTGGAGAGGACAGTGTGTGCTAGTCTGGAGAGGACAGTGTGTGCTAGTCTGGAGAGGACAGTGTGTGCTAGTCTGGAGAGGACAGTGTGTGCTAGCCTGGAGAGGATATTGTGTGCTAGTTCCGAATTACTTTTCTCATATTTTCGGGATCCCTTAGTATGTTTTGTATATATTGTGTTTGGTTGCGTGTATTGGGTATGAGAGAAGTGAATAAGACATGATAAGGGCTGGCTGACTGTAATCTAATCACCAGGTCTAGGATACAGACCCTACTCCGTCCTGTAATTCTCGGTACTTTTCCGGCCCAATGCGATCAATGGAAATAATGGGCCGACCAGTGAGCGTACAGCATTCGTGCACGTGATCAACTTTGATACTTTTCAATTAAGTTGAGTCGTAAGACTAGAATTTCTTTGTCGTTCTCTGCTTTCGGAGAATCTTCTTGTTAGCCGCTTGTCGGGCTATTCCACCTAATTTCTCTTTCTCCACTTTCCACCAGGAATTCTCCATGTGTCTACTGTCTGTATACCGGGTTTGTTGTTGTATCAGTCCTGATGGTGTCACTTCTCAGTTCCAACATACTTAATAACATTAGTGCAGCTCTAGTGTTACCCGAGTTTCTGGTTACGTTCACTGTAAACATGGTTTCTAGTATCGGCTGAGTAAGAGAGATAGGCCTCTCTGTGCTGTGCTACTCTGTTACGTTCACTGTAAACATGGTTTCTAGTATCGGCTGAGTAAGAGAGATAGGCCTCTCTGTGCTGTGCTACTCTGTTACGTTCACTGTAAACATGGTTTCTAGTATCGGCTGAGTAAGAGAGATAGGCCTCTCTGTGCTGTGCTACTCTGTTACGTTCACTGTAAACATGGTTTCTAGTATCGGCTGAGTAAGAGAGATAGGCCTCTCTGTGCTGTGCTACTCTGTTACGTTCACTGTAAACATGGTTTCTAGTATCGGCTGAGTAAGAGAGATAGGCCTCTCTGTGCTGTGCTACTCTGTTACGTTCACTGTAAACATGGTTTCTAGTATCGGCTGAGTAAGAGAGATAGGCCTCTCTGTGCTGTGCTACTCTGTTACGTTCACTGTAAACATGGTTTCTAGTATCGGCTGAGTAAGAGAGATAGGCCTCTCTGTGCTGTACTGCTCCCAGGCCTCCTGCGCCCTCACTCAGTGAGAGTGTTACAACTTAACAGGCTTTCCTTGCTCTCTCGCTCTTTGCAGGTGCTCTATCTGTCCAGTTTTACACATGTTTCCAGTCAAGCTCCCAAAATGTAACAGTTTTACACTTCCTCGCTCTAGCCTTTTCCTTTGTGTTTTCTTTTCCTCCTCTCGTCGTTTGTGCATCACTGCGTTTCATGTGTTACCTGTCTTTCTATTTTAATTTTGTCAGTCTGCTGCCTCCATTGTAAAGACCGGCTGTAAACAGTAGTGTCTACTCTCCTGATGGAGTTTTGTTAAAATGTGTGCCGTACACCCGATGAAGAGGCAGTGTCTCTTTCTGTCAGGTCCAGTCTACGTTTCGTCCTTCAGTCATGACTTTACAATAGAATGTCGTCTAATTCCGCCCAAACACTGCCCAATTTCAAAGAATTTGTCAAGGTCCGCTAGTTCTCAAAGGTAGGCAAGGTAGACCACTCTCCTACACCACGTGACATTACCGGATGGTCAAGTATGTTTTACTCTTCCTGACCTGTCAGCTTCTTATATCACTTCATATTTCTCACTTCCTGTTACCAATTCAGTGCTCGCCAGAAACCAGTGGGACTCTGTCTGGTGCACTTCAGGGAGTTGTAGTTCAGGTGAGCGCAGACTGGTGGTATTTCATGAGCCGGTTAAGCGATGAGCCGGTTAAGTGATGAGTTTCTTGTGGGCTGTTCAAATCTGAGTATAATTGTTTGTATCCGTTCAAAGTGGATCCTTCTCTTTGTAACCCTCTCAGTCCTCGTCAGCAATAGTAAATTGTAAACCCAACTTACTCCATTTTTGTTGTGGCAATAATATGGAAGATGCTCCCTCACTGTCGATCTTGCCTCAAGTCTGGCTGCCGGCCCTAGTCTGGCTGCCAACCCTCCTCCACAGATACCATGCTGTATTAATAATGGGCAGCTGCCGACTGTAACCGTCCGTGACCTTGTGTTTCAGGAATGGTGCAGTGTCTCATTAGTCACAACATATGCTCCCCGCGCTCCTTCGTCTTTATAGGCTACCGGTGTCACGTGACGTCATCATCCTGGGTCTACTTTATAGTTGCCGGACAGGGGACGGGACTGTTGCCTTACTTCGCCACAATCATCTCCCAGTACTTATTTTGTTAGCCATAGTGCCGGTTGTAGCCTGGCTCTAGTTTCTTGTGTGATTTAAGTTAGTTTATATTAAGGTCTTTTTATGATGTTAATCAAGGAGTCGTTGTATTGTAAGTTAGGGAGTTGATTAATTTGTTGGAGGTTTCTCTCCTAAATAATAAAAATAACTATAAAAAGGATAAAAAGAGCTATGTTTTCGAATGATCCGCTAGTTCTCTCCTTTCACATATATTCGAATTTAGATAAACTTTGTTTATTAATATATTACCGTATCCATATCATAGCTTTTAATTTGAATTACAATTTTACGAAATGATTTCTATCTTTTCTAACCAATCTTTCCTTCTAGATGACATGTTGTGTGCATCAAGTGGACACGACTTGTTGAAGGAATACAACAAACACGACCTCCTTAACGACTACACCAAGGTAAGAGCGGCGGGATGTGGAGATATGTGGGGCAGCGTCACGCTCATCACGGGATGAGATGTTGAGATGCGATATGTGGGGCACGCCTTTGTGGGCAGACCCCACGGCCCACCCTCTTGGTTTGACATGCGATAGTGATTTCCTCATTCGATTGGCTCTGTCTACAAAATGATAAATGAAAAAGGGTCGCGTGAAAAAGTAAAAGATATTGTGTTTGTCGCTCCCCACGCGTTGCGACGGGTATTGTGTTTGTCGCTCCCCACACGTTGCGTATTTCCCGAACCTGATCTGTCCCGGAATAGTTCTGTGATTGATCTGCAAATAACTGCTTGACCATATTCCGGATATATGTTAAAATCTCGGTCATGAATATTTGTGTAGATGCTATTTTAAAAGAGATCATCGTATTCGCCGTAAACTTTTAAAAGTTAAGGATTGTTAGGTTTTAAAAGTTTGATTTTGATAATGATTCTCCCGTATAGCGAATATGTCGACACGTCCTGACCCTGTCCGTTTAATTGAGGAACTATGTTTCGACTTGTCAAACTTCATCCACATACTTTACCTCGTACGCGAATCTAAAACAGTAATCTATAGACTGGTTACCAGTCTATAGATTAGACGCTCCCTCCTGATATCCTTGTTTACAATCTATTAATATTAACATTTAACAAAAGTTTACAATCTATTATGATTGAATTTGTTACTGCGACTTTACCGCTATATGTATTCAGTATTTCTATGCCAGTAACACTTTCATCTTTCAGCAGTGGAAATCTGACCAGCATTGGAAGAGTAGCTCAGACACGGGTTCCGGTGCGCCTGACCGGGACACAAGGTGGAAAACTGACGGAGCTTCAACCAGGCACATTGACACCTCCTCCTGGGTCAGTGACATCCGCGGTACCGAGCAGGTGAGGATCACGTGATGCCCATATAAGGAGCACTCAGCTCATTTTGTCGATAGTTCAATAAGAAGAATTAAGTTGATGTCTGATACAGACATTCTGTAATATAATATATATTTCTCACTCATCATTCTATTACATAATAACTCATTACATAACCTGACCACAATTTTCAGGAAAAACTGGTCGAGCAAGCACTAAACCTCGACCTCAACAACTTGTCAGAAAAGCAGCTCGTCGACATCTTTTCTGCCGTTACAGACGAACCAGAATGCAAAGCTCAGAAGTAAGTATAACGAGGTTGTCACGGTAACGCGCCCCCGGTTGCCAGGGTTACTCACCAACTATTTGTTGTTGTCATAATATTTTATTGGATACACTTGTGTCAGGCACGACCTGGTACGAACATATTTGTAGAATTTGCGACACATAACTTTGTAACTCCGCGCAAACCGTTACAATATATAATAGTTTTAATGACTAGCTCCTGCAAGTTGGCCTACCCAATAGTAGCAAGTTTCTGCAGCTTGCTTTGTTAATTTTGGAGGCGTGGAATAAGCATACAAGAGAGATGGTACAAGGGAGATCCTGTGTGGAGAAAACAAATTAAATTGTAAACAGTAATACACCTGAAGATTGTTTGTTTGCTTTGCACTGTTGACTGTGGACCTGAACCGAGCCTCTATTCGATTATAAGTAGGGCTTCCCTTTAGTGACACAGTTAGAAGAGTAGGGCTCACGTTTAGCACTTCGGAGCATGTTACTCTAAGTATAACGACCCATACTTAGAGTGTATTTATAGGAATGACTTCTCTGTAAATATGTGTGTAATGAGCCGCTTCTTTAGCGGCATCTCCAAACTTTAAGTGGGGAACTTCGAGTTGGGTTCCGGATAAATTCCTGTTCCCCGGTAGCGGAATTATTCGTTTGTATCGCATCTTGTTGATTTGTGTACCACGCAGCTAATATTTGGCAGAAGTGACAAATTCTTAGCGTGTTTTGTTTGAAGTTTTGTTGTTAGTATCAAATTTTAATAAGCCTTATTTTTACAGGTACATCTATGATTCGAACAACAACCTGATTTTGGCTTTCCAGACTTACTTCGACAATCAGTAAGTACCAATTGAATCGAAACCTAAAATATGTATTCTATCATTAAAGTTGAGACTGCTGTATGTTTCATAGATCAGCAACCACATTCCTTGATAGATTTAATACGTACCATTAGACGAACATGAGACCCGCTTTTGCTGAAAAATCTCCGCTTATTATAGGGTCCAAGCATTTCTAGCAGATCACGTTTTGCAACCAACACACACCGACCATTCCACAGTCATATGATAAGTGGGGGCCAATAGGAACACAGCTCCCCAGCTTCAGGTCCTGCATAATATTGTATTAGTCTGCGCAGATTTTCACTCCGTACAATAATTCTATGGGGCCTGTAATATGCTTGTAACCAGACTAATATCGAAATTACACGAATCCACCAATCAAGGGCTTTTGAGTAGTCACGTGTTCACATCTGAACCAATCAAGGGCTTTTGAGTAGTCACGTGTTCACGTCTGAACCAATCAGCGACAGGGATTGCCATCCTGTGGTGCTGGGCTGTACAATCCTAGATTTGTCAGGAATATTGTTTTACGTGTCCGCCAAAATTTGTCCTTGTCAGAAAATTGATTGAATGAATTTGGTCATGGAATAAAAATAGGGTAGCAAAGGAAGCATGCCTATGAGTCACAATCTGCTCGGTCCTAAAAATAGCGGATAAAAAAGCAATACCTGACATGTATTAAATGTGTCTCTCCATTATGAAATACTCACGTGTCCTGAGTGCATATCTTCTTAGGAGCTACTTACTAATATCCGTACTGTAAGTATACTAATTCTCAGTTGATGAGGGCTGGATACATTAGTTATTGCTGGCAACCGCCCAACTTGGAATTGTTCACATATTAACTCTAACTCGTTACATACAAATCTCGTTAAAAAGCCGTTATCCACTTAACCCGCCCTCTGATCCCTGGATAATATGTGCCCCCGGCCACGGACACTGATTTTACAAATAGTAAATCTCATTTGACGGACGAGCCAGTCGAAAAGAACGGTTGGCACCACCTGTTGAGTCACGTGGTCCCCTTATATGCCCACGTGATGTGTTTACCGCACCATGTGGTTCATCAGATAAAGTGCTGGTGGCGATGTTCCATATCGTTAGTTTTAGGAAAACGTTAGCCAGTGTTACGATGTGGCTCCTTTGACCGGTCCTGAAATTAGGCTCCTTACCAAAGATCTGCTCCTCTCCATTACCCCGCTCCTCCTTCATTACCCCGCATATTAACATATGCACCGGTCTGCTGGGACGACTCTAATTCAGACACATAATCCCATTATATCATCTCCATCGGTTTCGCTCCGTTAAGCCATGGCATATTTTCCAATTTCCGTGCACACCTGTAGCGACATTGGGCTCTACCTGTAGAACACAACAACATTGGAGCACTGTGGAACACACTAGAACACACTGTGGAACACACTGTGGAACACACTGTGGAACACACTGTGGAACACACTGTGGAACACACTGTGGAACACACTGTGGAACACACTGTGGAACACACTGTGGAACACACTGTGGAACACACTGTGGAACACACTGTGGAACACACTGTGGAACACACTGTGGAACACACTGTGGAACACACTGTGGAACACACTGTGGAACACACTGTGGAACACACTGTGGAACACACTGTGGAACACACTGTGGAACACACTGTGGAACACACTGTGGAACACACTGTGGAACACACTGTGGAACACACTGATAACATGTCTCCAGTACTGTGAAATTGTGAAAGTTTACTGTCTTATGCGCGTCTGACAGAATGTCTGATGTTAGGGAGGCGACACTAGACGCAGGCCCAGACACACCACACAGCGCAGTGACCTCAATTACGGAGATTCAATGATCTGGATCTACAGCCTGTGATATAATCATGCTGTCACATTACCATTGATCTCATCATGACATATTTTTAACATTTTTTTCATCATCATTGTAACTAACCGCCTCCTTCTCCTCAGCAGTAAGCGCGGAACAGACCCACCCTCCTCCTCCACCCTGCCCCACACACCCTCCCGCTCAGACCACTTCCCTCCCGGCCGATATCCCAGCAAAGAGTGCAGCGGGTTCACTCCCGAGTGTACCAACTACACGGATACCGAGTGTAGTGGTAGCAGTTACTCTACGCCAGTTAAACGTGCTAATAGACCTCAGAGAGACTCCTTCAGTAAAGGTGAGTTTTCTCACCGTCTCAAATATTTCAAGTATCACAAGAATTTCTGTTTAAACAGGTTTTTTAGATGCTACTTTGATTTGGAATTCATAACGTTTCCGTACGGGGTGACATCATTTCAACCTTGTAATATGGGGAGATATTGGCATTACAACATGAGAATCAATCCATTAGCACCTCACTGTCTTAATGAATGGGAACTTTATTAATTGCAGTGCAAGTTATGCGGAGTGAATTGATTAGTTGATGAATTGATTCTCCTTATCTCACATAATCCTGCCTCAATGTAATCTGATGGTTGATAAATCTGATGGCTAGGTTAATAACGGTCACTGTTTAGCCCCGCCCAGAACTATGTCATGATAAAACTAAAAGATAATACTCTAGTTTCTACTCCCCGGATATCTTCTAACTTTGTTTTACTTTCAGATTGTGATCACAGATGTTGTATGGTACATGCTGACGCTTGTTGTTTCTGTAGCGACTCCCGACCAGAAATAGAACTGTACGATATCTTCATAAAAGACGAGGGCTACTGTATTACCCCTTACAGATGGTTATTTTACTGCCCTGTTTGCAAACGGTTAGTTTTTATTCTTCCTATTTTTACTTTTGGGTTTGTAAATTAACAATTTAAATTTGATGTTATTTATTTGTATCCTGACCTGACTGATTACCAAATAGTACGTGACATACAATATCGAACAATAGGGGTGACCGTGTAACATCTAGTGTAACATCTAGTGTAACATCTAGTGTAACATCTAGTGTAACATCTAGTGTAACATCTAGTGTAACATCTAGTGTAACATCTAGTGTAACATCTAGTGTAACATCTAGTGTAACATCTAGTGTAACATCTAGTGTAACATCTAGTGTAACGTGTAGTGAGCTTTATGGCTAAGTGAGACCGGACCAACGCCCTCCAATTCATTAGTGGGGTGTACTGTGAGTGTAGTGTAAATGTTACTGGTCCTGTACTGTGAGGTTACGTTGGGCGGGAGTTAGCATCACTTCCTTGTAAGGTCACGTGATTACTACTGTCCAATCACATGACAGTTAGGAGTGTGAAGTAACCAATGAGTAGGTGTTGTATTCGCTGTGTAGGTATGTCTAGTTAGGCTTCCTGTCTATTTCAATGCCTCCACTCAAGGAATTGCCGGGGAAGCCCCGTAAACCCATCCCTCTAGATTCGTTATACAGCTCTTCTAGTGCTCTTAGTCCTAAAGTGAGAATCTAGACCTTGTCATGGTCCTCACCCATCTCCCGCTACACATTTCCATTTCAAAACTTCTCACACGTGACCGTGATTTGAGAGATATTTCCTGCAAGCTTGGCACTTAGCCAAACTTCCACCCCGCAACATCAGACAACCAATCAACTGACAGAGCTACAATCACGTGACTATTACCAGCCCCCAGTTAATATGTAACTTTGTTTTCAGGAGAACACAAGCGGACAGTCCTCCCCAACGCTCCTCAGGTTCATACGCTCCTCTGTACAGACCCAAAGCAAGACAGAGAACCTGCTCAAAGCACAGGATCTGTCCCGCCTCGTGCAACAAAGCTAAAGATACCTGCGTCATCTGTTAGCCAGATGACGAACACAGCGAACACTCATTAATTTATTCATTTTTATGTTCAATGTTATATTCGTGTTTAATCCATAATATTATAATCAAGTCTAATTGAGATTATGAGCGTGTTAACGGGGAAACAAATTAACGGTAATAATTGGACTCGCGTACTCGCGTACTTAGGAGGGGCCAGTGTTTATATGTTTGTGGTAAATTTAGCGTCCGGAGCATGGTCTTCATGTGGTATCTGGATAACTGATATATTTTAAGGTCTAGCAATGTTTGTAGAACAGTTAACATATGGACGCCATGCCTCACCGCTCAATTTTCCATTTTTTTCGTTAATTGTTTATTAAATTTTGTTGATTATATACTATGCCGGGTACAATCTTAGTCTCGGGAACAAAATCACTGTTTGTCTGCTGTCTACGCTAACTAAAAACAGATCAGTCTGCGACCGCTGTAATAGTGGCCGTAGTGCCCGCTGCTTGGGGATTTTGTGAATTATTTTGCGTAAGATCAAAAAGTTAGGATATATAATGTAGCTCGATTGTTTTAGTGATAGGTTTTATTGAGACGACTTTTGTTCTAAAAAGACGTTCGGATGATTGATTTTTAAAATGTAGAGCGATGAAGAGATGAGAATGAAATTGTTTTGTTTCCTCTTCTGTTGATGTGATGGTGGATTTGAGTCACGCTGAAAACTTCGTTTCAAAATCTTCAATTGTTTTATACCGCCTGAGGGTCTGTTACACAAAAATTTCTAGAGCTGGTCTGTTTTTGTGACGACTTGTCCAAAATCCAGTTTATTAACTGATTTTATGTAAATGATAAATTTTATTGATATAACCACATTCCACAACGCACTTGGTTTTTGAATTTTCTATGTGGACTCCCTGGCGGTATAATTATAAAGTATCGTTAAGTATTTATTTCGATGGCCATTTTCTATTCTAAGCACTCGAAGATAATTTGATTTACTAACAAATAATCTCTCGTCAATTTAACAAACAGAATTTTTAAACACCAGTTTTAAGAGTAAAACGGTGGGTTTTAAGATTGTTAGTAAATCATTTTCGGTGCACTTGCTCTCAACAAAGTCTAAACACAAATTTTCTACATTTTCATTTACACAGAATATATCATTGTTTTCTTTTGTGTCCGACTATTTTATATTTAAACAATTGAGAAATTATAATCATAAACCTAATTGAAATGGCTTGTAATTTGTTTTGAACAAAGAATACAAATTATAATATGCATGCCGCAAATACTTGTTTGTTGTTCATTGACGTCCAATTTTGATGCTACTGATAAATAAACTATACAACAAGATAGATATACAAGGTAGCTTGGAGGGGATTATTTTATATATGATATAAGTAAAAAAGTTTGTTTAGAACTTTCAAAATACATGTGTAAACCGTCTTCAGCTGGGGATGATGTTGTGAAGAGGTGATTATATATGATGGAGTGGTGTCAACAGGATTAAACAGGATTAAACATAAATTTGTCAATGAGAGCCCTAACACTCACGTCTTGACTATGCATCAATATAATAGAAATAAATAATGTGCAAGAGTGTTCTTAAAATAAAAATTTAACTTCGTCACATCTTTTGTTGAAAGAGAAACAAGTGCAAATAAAATAATTTAATTCCCATGAACATGTTCCAAAATGATATTTTATTTTTTGAGTTGTTATTTTTTCTATCACATTCGATAAAACACCATGTTAAGATCTAGTGTTTTGTACCGTACGTGATAAACATTTAAAATATAATTTGAAACATTACAGTAACGTTATTCAAATCTCAAACAGAAACAGTATATAACAAAGTTTTGTGTTTTGATCATATGATCGTGGATGTATAGTGATTGATTGCATAATTTTGAATTTGATTGATGGTGATTGTGAGTGAGAAGATGTTTGGAGTGCCAGCCAGTAACTCTGTCAAATGAACAGCCCATTGAAGAGCGAATGAGCGCAATTTCGCAGGAACAGCAGAGAGGGTGGCACAAAACGGCACACACGGAAACGACGAAACAAAAAAGAAAAAACGCCGTGCGCGGTAAGCTTGCCTATGTTTGAGAGCTGGTGTTACCTGGCAAGAGGCCTCGAAGGAGGTGCCGTGGTGGAGTGTGAAGGGAAAGTTCGAGAGCACGGCAGCTCTAACTGATGATGATGATTGAAGATTGAAGAAGGAGGTCGAGCGGGAAGCTCAGAAAAAGCTAAACAGGAAGGATCCAGCTGAGGTCTGACTCATGTCAGGAAGTGACGAAAAACTCACAGACAAAATCATCAGTGGCTGTCTACCCCGTACGTAGGCAGTGTCCAAGATTTCAGGCATCAGGATACACTGGAGCAGTGCAGAGCTGATTACGACCAGGGTCCTCACGGATACCCTGTCTTGGAGGTCGAGCCAATGCCCTGCGTTCGGTAATTGTGTCTACTGATATAGCCTTCATACTTTCCCTACTAACAGTCACTGTAACCCTATCACTCGGAAGGCACCACGGCTCCTACATGGACGCACGGCCGGGAGCCCATGTAGGGATAAAAGTGACCGCAAGAAATCCATCACATCCGTCACAGATCCAAAGCTGGAAAAGAAAAAAAAGGCGGAAAGAAAAAGGGGAAAAAAAGAAAGGAAGAAAGGAATGACTGAAAGAGGAAGCTAGTTATCTACATTTAGACTTTCTTTGAAGTTGAGGGTTAGTCTGTAGATTTTATTAATGGTGCTGGTCGAGAGTTTGATCAAACTTACGTCCTCATCGCTGAGTTTGTCCATGCAATCGGGTTGCGAGATAAACGTGGAGGCAAGATTGAAGCTACCATTTCCGTCAATGCTGACTAGATTTCCACTGAGGCTTTGAAATCTGTCCCTTGGAACTTTCCCTAGGGGGCAGGAATGGAGCATATGATTCTCGTCTTCGATGATTAGCTGGTTGATGTTCAGCTCGCAATAGTTACAGGTCCTTTCATCAAGTGGAGTTTTGTCGTACCTCCCCCTTTCAATTCTAAGGTGATGAGAACTGGACCGAATCTGTGTGGTTGCCCTTCTGTCCAGGAAAGACCTAGCGTGGTTTAGATATGGCTCCCATCCAAATTCTTTTTTGACTTCACTGTAGAATGATAGCTTTCTAGAATCTTTCACCAGAGAACCCCAGGAATCACGGAATAGTTTTCACAGGTTCTCTGTCATCAATTCAGGGCTGCAGGAGTCCGCGAGGAAGGTTGCGTTGAGCAACGATGATGAATTCCTGTCAGGAAGGTCGATGTTGTTAAATGACTTGATAACTGATTCGATGCCTACAAACCATGACAATTTGAGGTTAATCTGCTCAGTCATTGCAGCTTTGACCAGTTGTGTTGAGGGAAGGCTCATAACTCTTTTGAAGTATTTAGTACTCAGTTTCAACATCTCAATTATAATTGGGTATGAGCCAGTTTCTCCCCAGGCTGTAGCATTGACTGCCCTTCTGTTAATACCAAGAAGGTATTTGAGGTGACGTAGGTGCACTTGCTCCAGTTTCTGTTTTGCGATGTGGGAGACTGCATGATCAAGGTTGTGAAACTTGCTGAAGCAAGAGAGGACCTTACTGACGGTGGGTAGAACTGGGGCCCAAACTTGACAACCGTATAGTAGAATAGGCTTGACAAGGGTGTCAAATAGTTTGTTAAGGCATGATGCGTCAATGTATCTCCGGTCTATGGTGCTTCTCAAGCTAAAGTAAGCTCCGAGTCCCTTACGGTAGAGAGAGTCAGTTGCCCTTTTAGACCTTTTTCTGATTTTTCGAGGAGCAGACTGGTGTCTTGGGTAGCTTTTGTCAGGCTTTTAAGGAGATCAGTGCCACTTGAACAATTTCTTGCTATTTGACAGTCTCCAGTCGATTTGGCTCCAGAGGTCTTTTCTGTTATCGTGAGCTTTAGCTCTTTCATCTCATTTTTAATTTCAGTAAGAATAGAGCTGATTGACACATTGGATCTTTCCATCACTTCCAGTCTATTCTGCGCATCGTTGAGTTGCTCAGATGTAGCACTGCTGCTAGCAGCGGAGAGTTGATTAGGGTTCTTCAGATGTTGAGTGATCCTCTTTTTTCTGATTTTTGATATGATATGGTGATCGTGATATGAAATGAAATGAAGCTCGACTTGACTGTCACGTATCCGCAGAGGAGTTCTGTTGAGGTGTAGCGGGGACTTTACAGCTGGACTTCAGCAGATCCTTCTTAGTGACTTCCTTCTTCGGGAAACGCCTGTTGTTTGCTCTCACCAAGAACCTCGCTGTCTCTCTTATGAGGCTGGCATCTGTGAATAGCCCCTCTAAGTTAGCGAAAAGACAGGTTTTGGCTCTGACTAAAGCGGTGTCGGTAGTCTTCATACAGGGAGCAGGTCCGGAGGACGTGTACCTCATCTTCGATGATGGGGTCGAAGAATGGCATTTCTGCGAAATTTTCGAGCATGTCCATGTCCTCTGTTGAGCAAGCTTTACATATCCGAGGTACGATCTGGTTTCTTTTGTGGGTTCCATGACGTCCTGTCTCAATATTGAAATTGTGTGAGCTTGATCTGAATTGAGCCAGCTTTTTGGATTCAGCGTGCGACAGGTTCATATTGAGGTACTGCGCATAGCCAAAACTCATCTTTATGGTGTTGTAGAACGTTAGTTTCTTGTTGTTCCATCTCTCAGTGTTCCATATCTGCCTGAAGTTGGAACGCATCGCTTCTTTGATTTGTGAAGGTGAGAGTTTTAGATGATGTCCATTGGGTTGGTTTAGAACCGACCGTGCAGTCTCGATGTTGATGTTCCAAGAAAGACTGAGGCTGCGTTGCTCTTTGAAGGCATGTCGCACAAGACTGTTAGATCCAGCTTTCTCCATTTTATCTTATCTTTCCCAGTAGTTATACACTTGGGATGATAGCTCTATCGCCAAAGGATAGCGTCCTGTGTCACCCCAAATTGCCGCATTTGATGTTCATTTATTGACGTTGAGAGTCCACTTGAGAAACGAGATGTGAAGTTTTTCTAGTGGATCTTGCCTGATCTGTTTTAGGTTGGGAAAGTTACCCGATGAGAAGGCACCCATGAAGTATGTCTGAGGGAGCCAAATCTGGCATCCATAAGACACTACTGGGACAATAAGTGCATCGAAGAGTTTAAAGATTGTCTCTTTCCTTATATGTCGTAAGTCTATCATGCTTTTAAGCGAAAAATAACTCCGAAGTCCTTTCTGCCTAAGTTTGGACTGTGCGACCTTCAGGGATCTTGTCAGAGTGAAAGTCATTCCTAGGTACGTGTACTCACGAACTGAGTCGATCGGTGTTAAACCAAAAGCGAAGGTCTTGCTGTCTTTGAGTATCAAGTATACGACCAGCGCGGTTGAACACCATGATAGCGGTTTTAGACATGTTGACCACTAGGCCGGCCCCACTCCTGACAGTAGGCGTACAGAACAGAAAGCATTTTATGTAGGCTTTCAGGATTCAGAGTCAGAAGTACTAAGTCATCAGCCCAGAGCAGATGTGTCACCTTGATGGAGTTAATGATGGGCACTTCGATGTTATCTAGCTCGTTCAGTTCTTCGGAGAGGGCATGTACGTACGAAGCATTTGAACAGTTCCGGGGACAAGGGATGCCCTTGTTCAGTTCCACAGAGGACGTCAATCTTCTCAGAGAGCTTGTTGAGGAGTTTTATTTTTGCAGATGAATGGGTGTACATGTGTTCCATACAATTGAAAAATCGCCCTTGAACTCCTAGTTTCCAAAGTTTGTAGAGTAGCGCTTCCCTACAAACAGTGTCAAAAGCCTTTGCATAGTCTACAAAGCAAGAGAAGACTCGTTTCTTTTCGACTTTAACATATTTTTCAATGCATGTTGAGAGCGTTAGTATGTGGTCTGCTGTTTGAGCACCCTTGCAGAAACCCAATTGGTTTGGAGTATCAGGGTTCACTACGGTGTCAATGATAAGGGGTGTGTGATGTGCAATGGTGGAAAAGTTTAATGTTTACATTGAAATAACATTCAAATTAAAAACTAGGCTTCTGAGGTAGATGGGAGCGCCACCCAGTATGCAGTAACAAGTAAGTTGTATACCTGTTTTCACGCGCGAAGCCTTTCTTTTCTAAGATAAGGGGTACATATACAATGTGAAGCAAATGCATATGGATAACAACTAAATGCTTTTGCGGGTCGTGCGCGTTGGAAATTTTGCAAAAGCGCTTGCGGTGTGGAAATAATTAACAATTAAACTTAAATGAAATATATCAAGTGGGTGGCTTTTATTGTATGTTTATAACCTACCAGGACGCGCGCCGTACCGAGTTTGACTCGTCGACGCGGTTTTAATATTTGATATTTGAAACAAATATTTTACGAGTATCACCCGTTACGTAAAAGCTTTTACTAATTGATCATTATTCGCTCGCCCAAAAATTTCACGTGACTGTGGTTTTTATGGTTTTGCAGCTAGGTTGTACAAAACCCGAATCCCAACCCTAACCATAATCCCGAAGCTATCCATAACCCTTACCACAACCCTAACCCTTGGAGGACTTCGACGCGCCGCGCAAACTACCATTCTTGCTTCGCATCGATACGACGAGATCGTTGCTTTACTCTGCTTCGCAGAGCACAGCAACGATCTGGAAGTGTTGAGATCAGACCATTATGCATTATTTTAATTTACCTGGGGACCCCAGGCTATTATGTTCATAAACATAATAGAGATTCGGCGGAATGACAGGCTGAGCGCGGCCCAGTAATTCTTCGGCGGTCGCGCGCTACTGCAAACGAAAGGGCTCTGGTTAGAGCAATCTCGTGACCAAAACGGTTTTTTGCCCATAACTCTCCAGGAAAGCATTTTTACCCTACGTGAACGTTACGGGGGGATAATTCGGAATCAGCGTCCAAAAATACACCGATTTAGATTAAGTTCACAACCAAAAGGCCTTTCACAATTGAATTTTCTTAAAATTTGGACAAGCGATTTAGTAGGAGCGCAAGTAAGTTTTTCTCGGAAAAGGAAAATTGAGAAAAATACGATGCGAAACAAATTAAATTTTTAAATGGATTTGATGCAACTGCAAAAATATTACAGAATTAAAGAAAAAAATACTTTATATAGACTACTCAGGCCTCTCATTCCGTAATATATTCAATCTGTGTTTATTTGCGTCCTAGTAAGTGTTTGTCAACACAAAAGCCGGAGGTCCCTAGCGTAACTCTTGCAATGTATCATAGTATGCAATTAAATTAAATATAGAGACAAAATGAACAGATCTCTACGTTCAATCGTCAGTGAAAAATTTAGAACAAGACGTTCTATCATGAAGAATTACAGAGGAAACCAAGAAGAGAATTTATAATACTTGACAGCTTGACTCTAGGTACAAATCTTCAACAATATTGACTGGGATTATAGTTGTACAAATAATGTTCAAGATATGTGGGTTGAACTACATGGTAAATTGGAGTCTGTTGCTGCAGCTGTCCCAGCTGCTTCGGTTTATCTCGACAACAGACCTGTCAAGTTGCCATGGAGTACAACTTCACTTAAAAGAATGAGGAAGAACAAGGACAGAGCATGGGCTGAATTTGATATTAATCCTTCGGATATTAACTTTAGCTGTGCAAATAGCAAGCAGCGTATTTTTGAGGTGGCAGAAATTAAAGCTAAAGTAAATTATGAAAAGAAGATTACATCTAATTTAAAACAGAATTGTAAATCTTTTTACTCGTATTTGCGTAATAAACGTCAAGTTAAGTCAAGTGTTGTTTCTTTAGATAGAGGAGATGTTGTAGCGCGATGCACTACTGGGTCGCGCGCGCATCAAATAATGCTTCTCGCAACCACAGTAGTGTGCAAACCAACATTCGAACCACCAGCAGCTGGTGGTCAATTTCCTACGAACGCGACTTAATTTTGGTTCAGACTGGAGTCGAGCGCTACGTTATAGCTGTATATATAGCTTGTTTCACGACGAAATCTTCATTTATTGAGTTTGTCTGTCGATTATGTTGGAGTTTGTATTTTTAATTTTGTACTCGAATACTGTTAATTTATTTTTATTAAATAGTTGTTTTACGTAACAGCACACTAGTACGTGATTCCTTTTGTTATTCTTACATAATTAGGAAGATTTTAAACTTCAATACTATAAATAACCAAATATTTACGAACACCGATCATCGGTATGTACCCATTATGCATTATTGGTATCGAAGTCTTATGTTGAGCTGGATATCGAAAAATTTCAAAATGTAAGGATGTAATTTTGTACTTGTTTAGGTGTAGAACTAGGATTAACAACTTGATTGCTAGGAGCTAGGAAGAGATTTTAGTAATGATGACCCTTTAAACTTAAACTATATCTCTAGTGCACTTCGATCGGTTTTCTTTTCAATTTTGATAAAACCTAGTCGTGATCTTTGTTTCAGAACTTCACTAATTTATTAAGTTTTGTAGTTTATATAGACGGAACATGAGCAGATACCATTTGATTAATTATAATATATCCGATTTGAAATATTATTCTGTCGGAGTTTGAGTTCAACATGGACACATTTATTAACATCCCGCATGAATTTGTGTCGTCTTTACAATTTTTTGCGCTGAATTTGTATGCTTATTAATACTGCCGCATGATATCAGTAGCTGCTATAAAACTAGAGTGTATAGCATGTGTATTATACGATGTTTCCCACGTAAAAATCGCAGGTTGTTTTGGTGCGGCTGGGTACTCTACTGGTGATTGACACCAGAGACTGAGAAAAACTTTGACATAATTTTCAAGTTTGATATGACCTAATAACTACCACATTTACAGGAAGTATGGTAATACATTCTTGTCAGCTGTCTGGGCAAATCTTCTCTCGCAGAATTGGATTAAAATTTAATGTATTTTATTTCTCACTTCCAACGATGTCGCAATTATTAGGTAAAATTTGAAGTTATTTTGAGATTCAATTAATAAATTTTAGATTGCAGCTTGATATCACTTAGTATGTACATTGTACTCGGTTGCAAGGGTAGAACTTATGAGAATACTATCATAGTATTATTGCACTATACTATTATGGGTTCATCAAAGTTCATATCATGATTTGTCACAATTAAACCATCGAGTCACTTGAGGAAACCCGTTAAAGCTCGCAATTGGCGACGAGATAAAGTTTGTGGTACCTCTAGATGTTAAGTTAATTCTTAGGCTCCAATCTTCCTTACTATACCTACCACTCCTTCTTCCTTGATAAGAAGTAGATCCATCTGGAACAGTGAGCTGCTTCTTCCCTTCTATCCCGTACTAGCCTACTCAGCTCTCTCCAAACCGTGAACAACTACTCCCGGTGCTAGAACTTTAACCGCATAATTATAACAGCACAATTCTTTCGCTTGAATCTCAGTCTGCTGTAAGACTGCTGTACCGGTAGAGTTTTTACTTGTATGATTCAGCAATCTGCTCTTTAGATGGTACCGTTACCTCCCGCCATAAGACTGTGCCGTCTTGGTGACCTTGAGAATATCATAAGGTCCGATATATAAAAGCACTATCCAATATCGAGACCCACTCAGGATCCCAAACCACGACTCCTTTCGGTCGTCTGTACTTGCTTTTTTCCTCCCAGCATGGACTAAGTCAATGATACTGTCTTACATCGCTGGCCTTGTTCTTATAAGTGTTCACTCGGCGCTCACAAGATAACATGTTCAGAGATCTGTTGCAGAACCTTGTCGTGCCGTCATTTATATACTCCTTGACTAAGAGCTACTTTACACCTACAGCAAAAATGTGCTAAATGATACCCATCCTCTCCTCACATTACTGTACTTGCACTTACCATCCTCATCTTCGCCATAGAGGTGGTTAAGAGGGTGACGTACACAGCATCTAGCACGAATCCAATAAGTGAGTCTACAGTGCGTGTCGAAATACATTGCATGTACCCTTATATATTAATTGAGACAGAATTTTAATAAATCAACAAATTCTTAAAATTTAAAAAGGTAGAATTTAATTCTATGGCATTTATTGAAACCTGCTTTTTTAAAGTTGAGAATTGGTTTCAATTTCTAGAATATCACGATAATGTTGACTCAAAACTGTTTCAGGCAGCTATCAAGTCTCAAGATATGACATAATTTGATAGAATGTTAGTACCAACGCTATCAGTGCATTGAAGTCGAGTTCTCGATACAGGTATTATAATTAGGTTCTATCGACCGTTTTTGTAGTCTTAACTCATTTTTATTTGTTATTATACGACCAATTAAAACCTAGCAAACCAGACTTCTTTATGTGCTAAATGTTACTTTAACCTTAATAATAGCAGCATTGTGGCAGATATCCAGTTACATTTTTTCCAGCCGTATATTATAAATATACAGGGTGGGCCAAAAGTCAGTGTGCAAACGTTGGCATTAATAGCTCAGTCACTGAGTGCCCAATTGAAATAATTGGTTCTGGTATGACTTACTACCACCACTGGTTCGAGAAATTTGTCAAATCGAAACATATTTGTGTTCATTGTTTTCAAAAGCAAAAAGAAGGTTCATTTTCGCATTTATTTGATAGTTTGGATAATCGGATCGAGCCAAATTTTATTGAATTGTGTTTAGCCATTTAAATTACGTTTGCTCTAAAAAAATGAGAGTATATATATATTACTCATGCAACTAAGATAAATTGAGTATAAATACTCAATTTATCTTAGTTTAAGTTCCAAGTTATATAACTCATTTTCTAAAGGTCTCGTAAACTTTAATCAATTACAGAGGGTGTGGCCTCTTTTTCACTGAAAAGACGCCATCAGATTTCATTGCATTCTGGGACCAATTTTGGTGTGATTTAAAGTATCCTACAAATTGGTGTTTACTGTTTCGACTTTTGTAAAATCACTGTAACAATATAATCTGTATTCTTATAGTTTCAACCATAATAGTGAAATAGAGGGGCTGGCCAATAGCCACACCCTCTGTAATTGATTTAAGTCTACGAAACTTTCAGAAATTTGTGTGTAATTCGGAGATAAATTAAACAAGTTGTTATCGGCCACCATGTGTAAACGGAATGTTCTAGCAGACTGTATAATACTATAACATACATTTTCTTACACACATAATCTAATCTCTGGAATGTTGGTATGATATCAATGGCAATGTTTTGATACTGTGTATTATCATGATTATGCCTTACAGGCCGATCTTCCGATGGAGTTTCGGTTGCCATGGCAACACATCAATATGATAAAGAATTTGTAAACGCAGTCACAACTCTGTCGTGTACACTGTACGGTGCGAGCGGTTATTTTATGATAGGTAACATCTACATTTTCAGCATTTGCGGGATGACCAGTTCACACGTATATTTTCGCAGACACAACTTCGCATAAAATTATATCCAATTATTCTATAACCAATTATCTACACGGACTTCTGTCTAAATATGAATGAAATCGAGAAAACCAAATATTATATGTTTCATCCTGAAGTGCTGAGTTCTCAGGCAGTATAATCATGATCCTGATAGATATCGAAGTCTCCTTAAATGATTGTCTCTGCTGCTTAATATATCTGGATTGTCGTTGGGAGGCGATGCAGATTTGTTTACTTTTAAGGGGGAGGTTCTGCTCAGCAGGAGAAAGAGGTGATGCACATTTTGTATTTGTCTGACATGTAGGACTTGAGCCACGTTTCCGTAAGTGCAATAAACGGTAACGAGTGGTTTTTGGATTTCTCCTGAATAAGAGCTGAGATTTTTGGCACTTCCCATATACTCGCACTTGATGCACAGGATTCATGGACTGGACATTTAAGACGAGGCATGAGGAATAACGGGCACGTGCAGTGTATCCTCTGAGGCGGTAGGAACTGCTGGTAGTGGTATAGTGGGTAGTATATATATATTACTCATGCAACTAAGATAAATTGAGTATAAATACTCAATTTATCTTAGTTTAAGTTGCAAGTTATATAACTCATTTTCTAAAGGTCTCGTAAACTTTAATCAATTACAGAGAGTGTGGCCTCTTTTTCACTGAAAAGACGCCATCAGATTTCATTGCATTCTGGGACCAATTTTGGTGTGATTTAAAGTATCCTACAAATTGGTGTTTACTGTTTCGACTTTTGTAAAATCACTGTAACAATATAATCTGTATTCTTATAGTTTCAACCATAATAGTGAAATAGAGGGGCTGGCCAATAGCCACACCCTCTGTAATTGATTTAAGTCTACGAAACTTTCAGAAATTTGAGTGTAATTCGGAGATAAATTAAACAAGTTGTTATCGGCCACCATGTGTAAACGGAATGTTCTAGCAGACTGTATAATACTATAACATACATTTTCTTACACACACATAATCTAATCTCTGGAATGTTGCTATGATATCAATGGCAATGTTTTGATACTGTGTATTATCATGATTATGCCTTACAGGCCGATCTTCCGATGGAGTTTCGGTTGCCATGGCAACACATCAATATGATAAAGAATTTGTAAACGCAGTCACAACTCTGTCGTGTACACTGTACGGTGCGAGCGGTTATTTTATGATAGGTAACAACTACTTTTTCAGCATTTGCGGGATGACCAGTTCACACGTATATTTTCGCAGACACAACTTCGCATAAAATTATATCCAATTATTCTATAACCAATTATCTACACGGACTTCTGTCTAAATATGAATGAAATCGAGAAAACCAAATATTATATGTTTCATCCTGAAGTGCTGAGTTCTCAGGCAGTATAATCATGATCCTGATAGATATCGAAGTCTCCTTAAATGATTGTCTCTGCTGCTTAATATATCTGGATTGTCGTTGGGAGGCGATGCAGATTTGTTTACTTTTAAGGGGGAGGTTCTGCTCAGCAGGAGAAAGAGGTGATGCACATTTTGTATTTGTCTGACATGTAGGACTTGAGCCACGTTTCCGTAAGTGCAATAAACGGTAACGAGTGGTTTTTGGATTTCTCCTGAATAAGAGCTGAGATTTTTGGCACTTCCCATATACTCGCACTTGATGCACTAGGATTCATGGACTGGACATTTAAGACGAGGCATGAGGAATAACGGGCACGTGCAGTGTATCCTCTGAGGCGGTAGGAACTGCTGGTAGTGGTATAGTGGGAGCGCTGTTCCTGGCTGAAGAGGTGGATGTGGTCTGGGGTAGTGGTAGGGCATTTGAGTTTGAGGGAGGCTGGACCGGTGGTCGACTATTTCTGATAGGAGTCCGATCCTGGTTTGCATCGTTTCCAACAGTCTCCGTAACTATAACAATCCTGTGATCTGGTATTGGTTACTTAAACTTATTTAATTGAACATGGTGTTTGACGTTGGAGCTTATCACTTTACAGTTTACATCACCTTACCTGAATAATTGAATAGGATGAATACTGAATAGCATTTATTAATGCTTTCTTTACCCGGAGAACTCTGTTTTACTTGTCCCTCGGTAACACAAGACCGTGAGCCGTGACACTTAGTCACAATAATTAAGTCATAAGTCAGAAAGAAGTCCATAATTCGTACACCCATGATTATGTTAAATATAGATTGACTCCAGTCTCCATTGTTCAATGACTTCGTCAAAATGTTTTAGGAAAATGTTCACAGATTTGTTAATTTTGGACTCAAATTAACGTTGAGAAAAACTGAATTTATTTTGGAAAAATCCCGGCTAAAACCAAAATCCCGGCCGGTACCGGTACAAAATCGCCAAATACCAGCCGGTATTCCGGCTGCGCCGGTTATATCCCGGTCGAGTTCTGTCTGGGACCTAATTTTCTCTATTTCTCGTGCAATTTTAGATCAGACACAGTCATCTAAATTATTTAATAAGAAGGTTTAAATTATAAGCAATTAAAAACAGTTGGGACTATCATTGTTTGTGAGTACATATTATACGAATATAAGGTGGTTAATATAATTATAACACATTTAATATAAAACATTTAAGACACATTTTTTTATTCCTGCATTGTACTCATTAATTTAACTAGTAATATTATATAAAAACCACATTTCTATTTGTACAGGGAGCTGCTGGTAAACTACCGTCGCTATACATCGACTATGACTACAATCTTACTTTTAAAAACAAACTACATACATATCTCACATTTGCGAGGACTACTTCATCACAAGCAAAAAATCGACATTGGTAAATAAAGGTAGGTTCTTTTCACTGACTTCGTTAAATGAGTTACATATTTTCACACAAATTACGTGCGTGATCATTAAAGGGTTGCTTGTGTGCAGTTACTTCTGGGCCAGCGCCACCCTGTTGGGAGTTTTCACATAAGTAAATTTGCCGATAATACAATTTTACTCATTCTGGACATGTTACCTATATTATCATTATACTAGTATTTCTTCAGGTCTGTCTTCTATAACCACGATGAAAAGAAAAGCTGGGCGAAAACATTCGAGACTGCAGATTGCAGAACTGGAACACTCTATTTGAAGACAGTGGCTGCTGAGTGCTGAGCTGCATCAAATCTATCAGCATCATGTAACTTCGATCAGGAACAGACTCCATTTCATTTCCGACAACTAGCACCTGTTTTCCCTAGACTTACCAAGTATTAAGTAACTGCATTAGTATTAGGTTAAATTAAAGGCCCTACATCGAACAAGTCTAACAATTAAAACTTAAATGCAAGAGTGCACAATTTATCACTAAATATCTTCCTCTTTTAATTCTAATCAACACACGGTTTCGTCTTTGTTTCACCCAATCGTGCTGATAATCAGTAATCATGCACTCTGCACTCTAACTTCGAGATGTTTCAAAAGGGCTCCCGACGAGTTGAATTAGATCAATATTTTCTTTTGATACATAGATACTGATTGGGAGGTTCATCATACTATTCTTGTCACATGGTAACGATTAACGATTAGCTGATCAGCTTCCAGCATCGACAGGCCGAAATCCATAAATATAATCAGTTGTAATTTAATATTTATCATCGTCCGGATCATCATAATATTTTAATTTAAAGTTACAATTGAACGGTGTTAAGAAAGATAATTTAAGAGAAATGTTTTGAAAGTGCCTGATTTCGAGTATAAGATCTGTACTGATACATTAATTTTCAGATTGTTATTATAGTTTATTTGTATTTTTTATATTATCTTATCCGCACAAGTTCGGAAGCCATCTGAACGCTATTGCCAGACACAGGCATATATTTATTTTGGGGTATCATGCTCTCAGAAATTTCAACTCAGTCCGATATTATAGTTATACTAACCTGCATTGCATAAGGTTAATTGTCTCGCAGTCTAGTGCATAAACCTTTTATTTTGTATAAACCCTTTATTTTGATTGGGAAAACTTTAGTTTAATGTGGTTACCGTCTCTAAAGTTGGCATGATAGTTAATAAACTCTTATCTATTATGTCACTGAAGATGACGCCTTGCAACATGTTTGACGATAGCCTGTAGATTGATAGTTTGATCTAAGTATTTATACAACAATTCATCTAGTTTGATTGATTCAAAGGGAAACAAATTCCTCTCTTATCTATTATGACTATATTTAAATTCAATCCTGTAAAGTGATACTCCTTTTTTAGTAATTTAAACATGTGTTTTCTCCTTCTGATTTTTAAACTATTACCGGTCACGCTGAATAATAATGACATCAGTGAATTTAAAGCTATCGTTAACATCACTCAGAAAATGCGCGTCTTTAGCGCGTGTCTTGTTGTTATGCATCAATCCTTCGGTAGATCGGCGAGATGCACCACTGTGCCTCACCGAGCTGCGAAGGATTGACATCGTGAATCAAGAGGAGATGGTACACGCACAGATAGTTCATTTGAGTCAGCTGAGGTACTTGCTAGTACCTTTAGTTCTGTGTTTGTGCGTGAACCACCTGGCCCTCTTCCCCAAAATGAGAGTTATAACAAAGAGGTTATTGATGATATGGAAATTAGCAGTTCTGATATCAAGAAGCAGCTTTTAAAGCTTAATGTTTTTAAGAGTTCTGGTCCGGATGGCGTTCATCCAAAGTTGTTGAAATCCTTAGCATACGATGAAAAGTTTGTTGAAGCTGTAACTAAATTATTTGTTAAGTGTTCAGAAACAGGAGTCCTGCCTGACATTTGGAAGACAGCATCTGTTGTAGCATTGTTCAAAAAGGGTGTTAAATCTGATCCCTTAAATTATAGACCTGTCTCATTAACTTGTATTTTGTGCAAAGTGTATGAAAAGTTGGTGAGGGCACATTTATTAACATTTTTAGAAGAACGAATTTCAAAGCATCAGCATGGATTTGTGAAGGGTAAATCTTGTCTATCTAATCTCTTAGAGACATTTGATAATATTCTTGATATTTTAGACGAAGGTGCTCCTGTCGATCTTTTGTATTTTGATTTTAGTAAAGCTTTTGACACAGTCCCCCACTTTAGACTTCTATCTAAATTGGAGGGGTTTGGGGTCAAGGGAAAAGTTTTAGATGTTATAAAAGACTTCCTGACAGACAGTTACTGGGCGGCACTCAGCCTGTCATTCCGCCGAATCTCTATTCTCTATATGTTAATGAACATGATAGCCTGAGGTCCCCAGGTAAACAGACAGAACCATGAGGGTTTGTGTAGAAGGACAATGGTCTGAGGTGAAACACGTGTTATCTGGTGTTCCCCAGGGGTCAGTATTGGGTCCTTTGCTATTTATTCTTTATATAAACGATTTACCTGACAATGTTAAAAATAAGATTAAATTATTTGCAGATGATCTCAAGTCAGTTTGTAATGCAGCTAACCATAGAAGTGTATCTGATGATATTTTAGAACTCGAAATTTGGGAGAGTATTTGGCACTTAAACTTCAATCCTGCCAAGTGTAAAGTAGTCCATATTAATCTGAATAATAATCCTAACTCGAATTATATTGTAAATGGAGTAGAACTAGAAGTATCTGCACAGGAAAAAGATTTGGGGGTTATTACCCATAGCTCCTTGCTTTGGAATGAACAGATAAAAGCATGTATTTCTAAAGCAAATCGTATGATCTGCTGGATTGTAAGGAACTTAGTTATTAGAGAAAAGGTTGTAATGATAGCTATTTATAAAGCTTTGATAAGACCTCATCTTGAGTATTGTGTCCAATTGTGGAATCCAGTTGCGGCTCATGGAAGTTGGGGGACTGTTTTGGAGCTGGAGAGCGTCCAGAGGCGGTTTACCTGTCTTATTGATGAGGTGGGTACTCTTCCATACAGCTGCAGACTGGATATCCTCAATTTGACAACGCTGGCAGAGCGGCGAATACGTGGGGACCTTATCGAAGCTTTTAAAGTAACTAGTGGTTTGACTGAATATGGATCGGGTTTGTTCAGAATGAGCAGATCTGGTCTTAATCTAGTTTCAACCAATAGGTGTAATAAGAGTGTAACTAAAGTTAAGAATCTCCAGTCTTCTTTTCTTCCGGAGCGAGTCATTCCTTACTGGAACAAACTCCCTTCAGATGTCAAGAACTGCTCGACAGTTTTAAGCTTTAAAGTTAGATTGGAAGGATTTAAGAAAGAAATGATTTCTAAAAACAGTGTAAATGATTTTTATTTTTGGAATGTTTCGAATCAAGTTTTAGGGAAAATTGAAGAACCCAGTTATTTAAGCAATAAGGAGACACATAATGAATATCTTTGGTTTCATCCTTTTGTGGCAAAGAAGCGTTTTATAAATCTTTATTCCACTGGGAAGTATTAATGAATTATTTATAGATAATGTATTAGATTTTATTAATTAATAAAATTGAATTTGATAAATTATTAATGTTGATGGAAAAATATATTTATTTAAATTATTCTTTTATTTAGTGCAATGATATTTTGTAGACACTTGTGATGATGTTATGTCATAATCTTTACTTACTTACTTACTTTATAGGACAGATGATTACAGATGTCTAAACATTGTCTTAATTGACGATGTCAATTCATGGCAGCTCGGCGCGGCACAGTAGCGCATCTCGCCGATCTAGCCAGTCGCTGTGAGAAGCCTCATTGAGTGCGCGGCGCGGCACAGTAACGCATCGCGCTACAAAACATTGTCGAGACTTTTTGCTAATAATAGATTTCAGAAACGAGATTCTAGATAGTATCCATATTCCATAGTTACAAATCGTAAACAGATGTTCAATGAAGCGCGCACGTACGTTTATTCTTGGCCGTTAATCAGACCCATGACATAACGCTATAGGTGGCAGTGACTGTAATTTTCTTCAACAATTACTGAATTATCCATCCATAAAGTGATTTACAAAATGACACCTAAACCTCGTGTTTCGGTGTTCACTTAAACGGTACTTGGCGGCTGAACTGTGGTGTCTGACGTTTGCAGCTAGATCGGACTCTGCATGATATTGTATTAGCAAATTTGTATAGTGTATAATTGTTTAGTGTTTATAATACTCTGCAACCTGGTAGCACGGCTGACACAAAAACAAAATGTTGGCCTGGCTTGTGCATAACCAAGTAAATAACACGCACTCCGATAAAAGCCGTCTGGAGAAACTCCGCAAAATGTTCATTGTAGTCAACGGGCACAAAGAAGCACTACTAGCAATTGTGTCCTTTACCCTCCTACATAATTTGAACATTTTTGTGGCTAACTCATTGAACAACATCTGAATTAAAATGTGTCTAGTATTAAAAGATTCAGTAAGTAATTTTTTCATGTACGCTGTACACTGTAGTTAGTAAATCAAATCAAACTTTTTCGATCAGCCGCGCGCTGAACCAGTGTTGCACTAGGTAAAAATTGTGTATATTTTGTTCATTTTTGAGTGTAAATTAATTTATTAATTTATCACAAATTATTTTATTATAATATAACCACTTATGTGAAATGGTTATTTTGACTTTAAATATTTGAACTAAATATGAATTGATTGTGGGTATAAAATAAAATTTGTTTTACTAAAAAAAAAAATTTGTTTTACTGAAATAGTTCAGATTATTTTCAATTTCAAAAGAACGATGAAAGCGTTCTGATATTTATAGACTTTAACTTTAACTTTTAGACCATATATCCAGTCTTATATTTCATTCACAGAGCTACCTCTCAGCTAATTTTAAGCTGGAGGTCCCTAGCGTAACTCTTGCAATGTATCATAGTATGCAATTAAATCAAATATAGTTATGTTTATTCTCTCAAGAAAACTAAAGTTTCATTAAAACATCAATTTTATTTCGTATCAATTGAAGCACTAGCAAGCAAAACAATATTTTATAAAAAATCTTAAGCATGGAAGTAGTATATATATAACTCGATTCAAACAAAACAATTATAATGAAATATGTCTCTTTGTTGAGTCCTCCTGTTTTAAGAACAGAAATTAAGAATGTAGATAAGTGTTAACCAGAGGTAGTAACTGTGTTTTCTGTAGAGGGTGCATTTGTTGAGGAGGGTCCTCTTCTTGGGGACTCTGTTCTGAAAATACCTCTCAGAAAGTTGTAAAACCTGTAGTAGTTTAGGTTTGTGTTGAGCAAAAGTTCCATTTGGCATCTCTGGGACAAAGTTTTGTGTTAGCTTTTAGCAGTGGATTTTGACATAAGACATCTAATTAAATCAGTAAAGCAAAGTTATATTCAGGATGCTAATATACCTGGTTAATAAATACCCTTTACATACAGGCTGGCCCAGAAATAACTGCCCAAACACAACCCAACGTTCAGGAAATCTAAGTTTGACTTATATCCATACTCTCTGAAATTTGTGTACAAATTTCAGAGTGTATAGATATAAGTCAAACTATAATAGTAAACTGTAATATAAGTTGACACAAATTACGTGAGTTATTGAAGGGTTGCGTGTGGGTAGTTACTTTTGGGCCACCCTGTATATACACCTTCTGTTTGTGAAAGAATAAATGAATGGGTTTGCCACCAAGTTTATCTGCATCGAGATGACCCCCACAACAACCAGCAGCACAGGCATATCTCTCTTTGCTCCTGCTAGGCCCCAGTACCACAGCCAAGGACCATAGCTCCCAATGAAAACCCAGCAAACAATGGATACTGTAAGGGTTGCCTTCCGGATTGATTTGTGGCCTCTTGAGTGTTGTTGTGCAAGAAACAGAATTGCAACATTAGTGAGGAAGATCATAGTCATAACCAAGAAATGAAAACCCACAAAGATATAATTTGCAGTCGGTCCTAAAACAGGCATGCAGCAGCTCATTAGAGGTTCATAGAATATTCCTGTTGCCACGAATGGCCATGATCCAATGTAAAGAGTTGAAGCTATCCAAATTAAGAGTACTACAGATTTTATTATGGTGGTAGTAAGAACTGGCGACAACGGTCTATGGAGGGAATGAAGTTTACAAACACCTATAAGAACTATTAAACAAAATTCTGCCACAAAAAATGCATGCTTAGTGTAGCCGAGAATGAAACACAGGTGATCCCCAAATACCCATCTGAAAGTGATGTATTATGTTATTAACCTAATATCAAATAAAGGCAATGTAATTTTATCAAATATAACTAAATACAATCATGCTAATTTTTTAAGCAATGAAAATCCTGTAACCTACCTGCCACAGACAAGGTTAACTGAGATGACTCCAAAAACAATGATTACTAGGACTAGGTCAGCAGCTGCTATGTTTTCTATCAAGATAACAGTCGTTCTATCCATGCTGACAGCTTTGTACCGGAGCGAGGCATAGAGTACGAGACTATTCCCAATGACACCTTAGGTAAACATGTATTTTAATATTACTGTCACACATTTTTCATAACTCCTCAATTATAAAATAGAGATAATGGTTTTTCATTCAAATTTCCTCTTCATCGTGATATATGATTGTAACGATAACATCAGTGACAGAGTTGTGTGTTTCTTGGAGTGTGTAACTTTACCGATAAAGAAAAGCAAGAACTGCAGAGTAATGTAGGTTTTCTCCTCTGCTTCTGTCAAATCAAGGAGTTCCCCAAATGTTGTATTGCTCTCCTTGTATGTTTTCCACATTCTTGTTCCTTAAACTTGCCCCTGTGCAGTGTGCATGACCTGTGTTTATTATTATGTTCTGTATTATTCCCTGAATGTTTGTGTACTAGTATTGTGAACTATGGAGTCGATATTAGAAAATGATATCAAAGGGATATTAGAACAGGATATTTCAAGATAAACAAGAATTTCGCCGCGGTTAAACCACACGTGATCAATTTTCCCTACGATGTACTTCATTGTTTTGAGTGAAAAGTGTGACTGGAAAAAAGTGTCATACAGTGTTACATACTATGTTTTTTTATAAATGAGTGGTATTCGTGCATGGTAAGCCACGTATTAACAATAAATGAATCCAGAAAATTGCGGAAAATAACTTTGCGAAGGAGGAATTTCACTGTAAATAATTAACACATGGCTAGCGCAGCATAACAGACGCTTCCTATACACACAATGATAGGGGAATGGTCTATATTGCGAAGGAGCAGACTTTTGTCATCACCGCAGGGCCGTCGGGCCACCTCATATATCCAAACCCGATTACTTATTCCTTACGATCTTTTTGCCTTCAGCAAGAGTAGGGAAAAAATTGCCCATTCAGAACAGAATAACTATAGATAATTTCCATAAGTTTTTTCTAGTAATTGATTTTAATATTTATGTCGGTCAACTTTGGGCGAAACTGATAAATAAATAAGTTAATACACAAACTTAATTAAGCTACACAAACTTAATTAAGTTACACAAACTTAATTAAGTTACACAAAACTCAGCGACGCAGTATTATTTAGAGTGAAATTAAATACAAAATGAACAGATCTCTACGTTCAATCGTCAGTGAAAAATCTAGAACAAGACGTTTTATCGTGAAGAATTACAGAGGAAACCAAGAAGAGAATTTATAATACTTGACAGCTCGACTCTAGGTACAAATCTTCAACAGATGTTCAACAGTATAGGACAGATGATTACAGATGTCTAAACATTGTCGAGACTTTTTGCTAATAATAGATTTCAGAAACGAGATTCTAGATAGTATCCATATTCCATAGTTACAAATCGTAAACAGATGTTCAATGAAATAGTTCAGATTATTTTCAATTTCAAAAGAACGACGAAAGCGTTCTGATATTTATAGACTTTAACTTTAACTTTTAGACCGTATATCCAGTCTTCTATTTCATTCACAGAGCTACCTCTCAGCTAATTTCAAACTTGATCCTTCTCATAACTAATCAATTTCCCGAGCACCGAACAAGATGTTACCTAAATATATTGACCTCCATTTTAGCTTTAAATATATAGATTGCTGAATCAATTGATTTCATTATTTAGAATAAGAATTATTATTAAGAATACTAACCATTTTAGGTTCTAACTATGACTCTAAACGAAAGCGTTTGAAAATGGAATCACAGCGATCAGAAGAACCACAAAATGCTAATGAAATAAAAAATGAGAACGGTTCAAGATCAGTCAGTCCTAGTAATATGCTTCAAGATCCAAAAGTTCAGGACCAAGTGTCTAGCCCTATTCCTGGGGGCCCTATAAATGAAAATCAATCACCCCCTTCTGGATCTGCAAGTTCCCAAAAACCAGGATCTGCAAGTTCTCAAAGACCAGGATCTGCAAGTTCCCAGAGACCAGGCTCTGCTAGTTCCCAGAGACCGGGATCTGCTAGTTCTCAAAAACCAGGATCAGCTAGTTCCCAAAGACCAGGATCAGCAAATTCTCTAAGACCAGGATCTGCAAGCTCTCAAAAACCAGGATCAGCAAATTCTCAAAGACCAGGATCAGCAAATTCTCAAAGACCAGGATCAGCAAATTCTCAAAGACCAGGATCAGCAAATTCTCAAAGACCAGGATCTGCAAGTTCTCAAAAACCAGGATCTGAAAATTCTCAAAGACCAGGATCTGCTAGTTCTCAGCACTCAATCAGAAAAGCTGGTTTCAACGACTCACCAATAGTCAATTCCATAGAAGTTGAGAGTCTTGAACCAGTGCCTGATGTACCAGTACCAGATAGTACTGGGAATACTGAGACAGTATCAGATAGAAGAGCTTCAGCTGTAACAATCTTAGAGATGGAGACCGAGGAGGATGAGCAAATTGATGTAAGTTAGTTTCTTGTTGATGTTTTTTATAGAGTTATATTTTTTTGGGTACATTTTCTTCGACACAATGCACAGCAGCAGCCCAGGCTTATTTATATTATGTCATATGTGCATATAATATGACTCTGACAGTAAGAATCAAATTAAGTGAATGGTATAGATATAAAATCCAATTTAACTAACATTTCAGAGTGTTTTCACCCCTGATTTAGAACCATTCCCTGCGATGCCATCAAGTGATAACTTATTTGTTATTGAAGAGGACCACGAAGGGGAGGAACTTCTTAAAATAGAGGTGTTTTCAAAAGACATGGGTCGTAAGTAACAATATAGTGTCTGAAAATACCTTACACCTTACAGCTAGATAACTAGAGCTGCTGGCCCTTCTTTATCATGATATTGATTCGTATATTCTATCATCACATAATGTTTAAGTTAATAGATTTGCTCCATTATTATTATCCAATTAATAAAGGGTCGGATTTGTTGGGCTCTCCGCCCCTGTTTGATATACATGTTTATTAAAATCATAACAAGACAAAATGCCAACAGCCCCTTATCCCTTATATTTTGCAGAGGAGGATAATGATATAGTGACCAGCCCCTCATCCCTTATATTTTGCAGAGGAGGGTGATGATATAGTGACCAGCCCCTCATCCCTTATATTTTGCAGAGGAGGGTGATGATATAGTGACCAGCCCCTCATCCCTTATATTTTGCAGAGGAGGGTGATGATATAGTGACCCCACGTGACCAGGTTGACCTCCCCCAATTGTTGGAAGAGTTACACGGTGTTCCCACTCAGCTTGCTGTTGACATACCACCCAAGGTATGTAGATGATAGAGCTGACAACCAATCTAATTAAATCTTACGTTTGGATTTTATGATTTTTGAAAAAGGTATTTTCGTCAGTTTTAAAGTTTTTTCTCCAGATGAGGTGATTACTGACTCCTTTAACAGAAACACGCGGTTTATTGGTATTTTATATAGAGATCTGTAATTCGTAGACAATATAGATCTTCGGACGGTAATGACCTTTTGTTACAATTTGAACGAATGTTACCGTACAAACTATTTCAGGAGTGTTACAAACTATTTCAGGAGTTGATGTCCGATAAGAGGATCCCAGACACAGTCGAGCAACAACTGGACATTGCGGGCCGGGACGATTACTTGCTGGAATTTGAGCAGGAAGTCAAGGAGGATGTTCTGATGATAGGGAACATTTCTTTAGATGAGATAAAGGTTTGTAATTAAATTTCTTCAGTAATTATGTGATAATTATTATAGATAATTAATTATCATGTCAACAAAATATGGGGTGCGGTTGGTAAGTTTGATGTTGAGAAATTCCCAATCTGCCCGTATCATGTAGTAAGTATCAAGTAACCTAAAGTAAGTATCATGTAGGCTGAAGAACAAAGGTTGCGTGAAGAGCACGTCAGGTTCCAGGACCAAGAGTCTCGGCTCCACGAGAGACGTAAAGACGAGGTTGTGAAGAAAGAAGAGTTAGCTAAACACCAAGTCAGGGACATGGCCAAGTTGAAGCGGGAGGAACTTGCTAGAAAAGAGGTTATATCTAGTGGTGTGATTTAGTGTGATTTAGTGTGATCTAGATCTGATGACTTTTTATTGGATTTTAAAATACAACAAGATCAGAGTATCAGACAAGGTTTGCCGCCTATTATTCCCAATACTTCCCGTCTTTAGATAAATGTACATATTCCAGAAACAAATAGCAGCGAAAAGAAGGTTGTACCACAGTGAGGTTCAAACAGCGTACCGTAAAGCGCAGTCCCAGCTTCTGTACGCTTTACAGACCAGGAGAGCTGAAGTGGAGGTTTGTCAGCACTAAGGGGATCTTGTTTACATAGTGCCCCCCCCCCCCCCTCCATAGTCGTAATGTAGTAAGGTTGAAATGTCCGATCTTGTTTACATAGTCGTAATGTAAGGTTGAAAAGTCCGATCCCTATAGTTATATATAAATTTCAATTCTAAATCCAAAACTTTACAACAAATTGAGTTGAGGACTGTTTGAATTTCAAACAGATAGCTGACAGACATTAATGATAGATAAGAAACATTATAAACTCTATCACAATAAAGATAATTTGTCACTTGTTCTTCAGACGATGTATGGAGATCTGATCCTAGCAGACTCCCAATACGGCGGTAATAATGGGAGGAGGTGGAAGGTGGACTGGAACAAGGCCCCCCAACCCGTCCAGATAAAACTCAGATGCCTTAGAGGTATGTTAATACTCCGTAAATTACCATAGTTATCATTACCATTGTATGCAATATTGGCAGGGTGATTTGATAGTACTGAAGTCTTAAAATATTGTTAAAATCAATAAGTCAATCGATTAATGTATATTATTGTGGTCACTGATCAACCCTGATTTTATACTTCAGTCAAAGGACAAAATTATAATTTTATATACCGAATTATTATCTCTAAACATGCACACTGTCACTAATTTAAAATTTATAAAAAGGTTAATGTTAAAATGTTGAAAGTTTGACATGGTGGAAGAATGCTGAAAATATTGTAATTTAACTAAGCGTTTTTAATTAGATTTTCGTAGTCTCAATTCCCATAGCATTGTTAAGGACATAATTGGAGCTGAATATTGGCTTCTGCTTCGTATTTAAGTAGCAGCGTACCCTTCTTGTAATGTTGTCACGTGTGAAAACAGGCATATTCTCCCGCCCCGTTAGTGCCCTGGAACTTGGAATCAAACCTAACCTAGCTACTTATCTCCTGATATATCACTTACATCTACTGTATCTGCCGTGACACGAGGCACAAGAGCCACAGACCCGCTAGTTAATTACATAAAGTGTGTGGTTGTCATGGTTACTCTCAATAACTTCCCTCTAACAAAGTGAATACTGCTCACGTGACGCAGGCTCCACACGTGATATACGACATGTTCTACGTCACTAATAGGTTTAATGGTGTTTACAGCAATATCTAAGTGGGACCTGGGGGTGAGTTAGGGGCACCTCAGCTCAGGGCAGCATGCCAACTACTAAAACTCTACGCTCTACAATAGAACTAGGGGAGCAAATATCCAGTATAACTCAGAAGAAGTCAGCTGCTAAAAATATCCAGTATAACTCAGAAGAAGTCAGCTGCTAAAACTCTACGCTCTGAAATATAACTAGGGGAGCAAATATCCAGTATAACTCAGAAGAAGTCAGCTACTAAAACTCTACGCTCTGAAATATAACTAGGGGAGCAAATATCCAGTATAACTCAGAAGAAGTCTTGTTATAAGATACGGAGAAAAGACTTATCGTCTCAATTATAATCCTTAGGATGGGCCTTTGGAATAATGAACCATTTTAAATTCTATTGACACTGTGACAGATACTTTCTATTAAAGTATTAAACGTCCACAGAATTGTGATAAGTTTACTAGGTTTCCCTGATAAATACTAGGCTTATGGTTTGGACTCAGGTTTAGTGTAACCATGCAGTCTGATAGCGACTTAACACTTAGTCTAACCTGAAACCTCACACAACCTCGGCGATCACTCTGACAGAATCTGAGGATCCAGCCCCACTTCGTCCTCTCAACACTTCTCTACCCCTTAGGGTGGGTGGCTTTAATAAACTGGGATGTTGGGAGAGCAGGTTCAGATCGGACCATTTTCTCTCTCTCTCTCTCTCTCTCTCTCTCTCTCTCTCTCTCTCTCTCTCTCTCTCTCTCACTCTCTGCAATGGTTCAGGCAGCTTAATGGGTCACTTAAAATATTTGAACCATGTAATTAGGGCATTCTTTTGATCTTAATGACAATAAGATTAGTTAATAATGAGTTAGGTGTCGGAATAACCATTTTTTGTTTGACAGCCCAAAATATACAAGAGTGATGGTTAATGACGTTTCAAGCTTGCAGGAGATACCGTATCAGCCATGATAATTAACGGTGGGGGTTGTGGGTGCCAGTCGTTCCCTTGTGCTCCCCATAATTGCTATTTAATGTGTTACAGAGGGCTAATAACGTTGGGATAAGCCTGGTCCCCTCCTGTTGACGTGCTAAAAGCCCTGCTCTCTGCTCCACGGTTTAAAATTTTTGGTGAATAGTCATTATTGAGGGATCTATCAGTGGTGTGCATTTCAGTCGCAAACCTCTACTCACTGCTTCAATACAATTATACGACCTTCCTCGGCCAATGGAAACGCGAGATTGGGTCATGTGGTGCGGATTTCAGCAATGATTGGCTGACAGCATGCAGCACTAAGACACGCATTAGAGAAAACACAGTCCGGGACCAGAATTAGGTCTCCAATATAGCTAACTGGGAAAGACCACGTGTCACCAAGGCAACAGCACGTGCTGTGTGGCGGTAAGGTTCATCAGAGCATTCAAACGATCACGTGATTTACCTCGTGATATTTTACTGAACCTCAAAGCTAAACTTCAACAGACATTTTAACGGCATCCCTTTGTTCTTTGCTATTGATTGGCATTTATTATTTGTTTGCTTGTATTTTATGCATCGTTTCCTAGTATATTTTACTTTATTATGTGTAACTGTGGCAATTTTGCATAATATTAAGACAAAGAAGTTTTGCAGAAAATATCGGAAACTCTGTTGGTTGTAATAGCTGGCTTTCTTATTTAATTTCTATATTCAAACTTGTATTTCGTCTTCGATCATAAAAAATGTCATACAACTTGACTTTTGCCTCATCTTTCACGACATCCTGAAAGCTCTAATAACTTGATATTGAAAATCTTTTATTTGATATAGTACCCTCTATCTCAGGATGAACTATACTTTGAAAACGGAGCCCTCGCCCCCTGGTATGGAATGTTCAGTAATAACCTCCTACCCAGACGAGAACACCTTCCCCCACTTCACTGTGGAACAGGTTGCGAGTGTGTGTGAGTCTCTGGAGAGTAGTGGAGACATTGACCGTCTCTACCGCTTCCTCTGGTCTCTGCCTCTGGCGCAGATTGAAGAGTTCAACAAGAACGAGAGGATAATGAGATCGCGTGCTGTGGTGTGCTTCCATCGTCAGGAGTACAGGGAGTTGTATTCTATCATTGAGAACTGCCGCTTTTCACGGGACAGTCACGAGAAGCTGCAATATCTGTGGAATGAGGCGCACTATAACGAGGCGGAGAAGTTGCGCGGGAGAGCGCTCGGTGCTGTAGACAAGTACAGGGTCCGGAAGAAGTTCCCACTCCCACAAACCATCTGGGATGGAAAGATCCAGAATCATTGCTTTAAAGAGAAGTCTCGTGCGATTCTGAAGGAATGGTACAGCAAGAACCCATACCCTTCACCGCACACCAAACGTGAACTAGCCAACACGGCGGGTTTAACCGCAACTCAAGTCAGCAACTGGTTTAAGAACAGGCGGCAGCGTGACCGGGCAGCCCTCACTAAGAGCAACAAGACTCTCATCATGTCACCTGACCGCTCCACCACCACGTCACCCCCGCCACTCATGCGAGCTGTGGTGTCCTCACCCGCTATTTCCAGTCACTACACCTCCTGTCCCACTCACGGCCTCATATCACCCACAATCCTCACTCACACCCCCTACTCGGGCTTCATTTCTTACAGTGGGAACCCCGAAACTGTTTAATAGCAGCAAGAGCTGTACAGATATTTCGGAATGTGGTTTGTTTGAAGATGTTTACTCGTAGTTAAAATCATACTGGAGATGAATTTTAATTTTGTGTACTAGCTAGACTGTGCTAACTCGAATAACTCGAATTACTGATGTGAAATTTACGTTTTCACCAATTAGTTATACAATTTCGCTATTTTGGTGGTAGTTGTTAGCTTAAGAAAACTTTAACATTACCTTATTTGTTATACACAATCAAAATGTTATCTAAAATAAAAGAAGTGTCAGATATGATGATTGTGGATATCGCGTAGATATCGCGTGACGAGTGACAGAACATAACTTATCAGCATCCAGCCAGATAGCAAAGATCGTGATTAATAATCACGTGCCTAAACACATCTGTGTTGTCTTTCGGGCTTTCCGTCGATATTCTTTTTGTCATGGTTTTCAAACCAAGATAGTAGTGTTTACTTGATGATTTATTTAATTTTGACGATTACATTAAATTGTTTTATATGTTTTAATAAAAAAGTTGTTGTCACGCTTATTTATATCTGAGCAATTTTAGCTCTCAGAGGAGCACCATCTAAGAGAAGATCTGTTTTATCCATTGTTTGGGTGAATACTCACTACAACAGCGAGAATATGATTAATTTTCTTGAAAATTATTGTTTTAGCGGATGAAATGTATTTTATATTCTAATGCTAATTATTAATTTATGTTGAATAGTTCATTATGTGTAATCTATTGTTGACCATCACCACAAAGTTGGAGAATAATTTATAAAACCTAAAAACCCTAATGCCCTTGTCTCTTCTTCCCTGGTCTAGATGCAATCTATAAACCAACCAAACTACACTACACAACAGCCTATCCAAATGTACAGAAAACATGCTTTTTAATAGCTTGAAACAAATCCGGATCAGTTCTGACAAACGAAAATCATAATTCTGGAGAGTTCCGGCTTGAAAAAATTCTAAATTTGGTCGTTTTCTCCTACATGTCACGTGGTATATTGTCAGGAAATAACCAGTCCCTCTTGCCAGGTATAAAAGATAAGCTACCCGGGGGCCGGTGTCACGTGGTAAATTGTCAGGAAATAACCAGTTCCTCTTGCCAGGTATAAAAGATAAGCTGCCCGGGGGCCGGTACGTGGTTCTGGTTTCCATGTACGATAGAATAGGAGGCCACGTGATGAGGTGGAGCAACCTGACTGGTCAGCAGTGGAGTGGGAGCACGCTACCTCTCTCTCACGACGGAGCATTCCATTCTATAGAGCTTCCAGTTAGTCGCATTCTTGGCATTTTGCTTTATCAAACAACTTTGTAATTAACTGGTCTATATAAGTATATAGAACTGTTTTGTTCTGTATTCTACGAACATTTGCACAATGTACAATGTGTAAAAATCATCTTCTCGACAATCCCGATTAGTAAAATTAAAACCACCAGATTGTCTCCAAAATAAGGAACCCCCCTCTAACCCATCCCTCCAGGTCGAACAGTCAGTGTTCACAGTGTGTCCCAGTGTACCCGACATCAGACCCAGTATGGTATTTGTATTTGAAGTGTTTCTGCTGCGTGGACCCATGGTTCCTACCGATAGAGTGGTTGCATGGGGCGCATTTCCTCTCTGTGACAAAGAGTGCAGGTCAGTGATAGTTTTTATTACGAAATTCAAATTAGTTGATGAAAGTCATTGCGATGGTCGTGCAATGGCGTAACGAACGGCCCCGCTGACGCCGCTGTGGGGGGGGGGGGGGGGGGCAACAGGCAACATTACGCCACTGTGATCGTGGTTATGTCATTAAGTTAAATTTTAATTTTTTAAGTTGAACATTTAATTTGCAATGATTTTAACCAAAAAACGATTTCTCCGAGGTTGAACCTCATCTTTATACCTTTATACCTGTAAAAACCTCAGTGTGATAGAAGGGAAATACAAATGTCCACTGCTACGAGGTGAAGTTGATAACCGCGTCCAATCACACGACAAAATCGAGCGTCTGATCGCCACAGACATTGATAACTGGTTGTGTAACCTGTACGTTGAGGTAATCAAGTTACCCCGGTATATGGGCGGTCAGAAAGAGTTTGAGGTAGAACTACAGTTCACAAGCTCCCTGCTCGGTTACCCTGATCGACTACAAGACGGGGAGCCGCCTAAAGACGGTAACCCGCCCATTATTGAGGGAGCGGATAGTGGGTCCACTATCGGATACGAGCCCGCTGACGTGTCCACTACTAATGAGACCGGTGAGGACAAGATGATGGACCACACTTTACCGAATGAAGACGAAAGATGTGGTTCGGTGCAGAGTATGCGCGCAGATGTGCACGCCACACAAATATCACGACCTTTCACAGCTGCACAGGAGATGATGAGTGAGGGAGACGAGTCTGAAAAGCAGGAGGATCCTGAGAACGACTACGAGAACGAGTTTAAAGAGGTGCAGGATAAGGAGGGGCTGTATTACAAGATACACAGGGAGAACCCTATGCAGTCCTATCAAACCTCACTCTATAAGATGTTACCTCGAACTAACTTGATGAAAACAAATGTTACGGTCAAGAAAACCCTGACCAGCGCTGAGGAGCTAGCTGAGTTCAAGTTTGCTGTACAAGTGCCATTTTGTGATCAAGGCAAGAGGAAGAAGATTACTCATGAGAGATTTAGGTTCGTGATCTTTGTATCTATACTGTATTGTATTATAAAAGTATCATGTATACCTACATTGTATACAGTGTGGGATTTTAGTAAGTCAACTATAGATGCCAAATGACACGATTGAGGTGCTGGAAGTTTGATTTCGGTCAGAAGAAACCCACAGCAGAAAACTTAAACAATTTTCAGTCTTTGAAGATGAAATTTCCAGAGATTTTGACTCCCAGTACCTCAATTTGGTTTCATACCATCATCAATTAACCGACTAATTGGTTTCTGGGCAAAAAGTTCTTCCAATCTGTCAAATTCGTGTTCAGAAAATTTTATATTTGAAAATTGGACAGGATTTTGAAAATACAACTTTTTGTTTTGTTAAGCTTTCTGCTGTTGGCGTCCTCCGACCGAAATCAAATTTCCAGCACCTCGAAGTCGATCGTGTCATTTGGCATTTATAGTTGACTTACTAATTGGTTTCGGGTGAAAAAAAACCGGCAAAACAGTAAAATTTCGGTCCTGGAAATTTCATCTGCAAAAACTGAAAATGGGACAGAGATTGGGACAATATGATTTTGCAATTTTATTCGGGATTTAGACTCCCAGTACCTCAATTTGGTTTCATACCATCATCAATTAACTGACTAATTGGTTTCTGGGCAAAAAGTTCATTCAATCTGTCTAATTTTTGTTCAGAAAATTTCATATTTGAAAATGGGACAGGATTTTGAAAATACAACTTTTCGTTTTGTTAAGCTTTCTGCTGTGGACTTCCTCCGACCGAAATCAAACTTCCATCACCTTAATCGTGTCATTTGGCATCTATAGTTTTCAGTGTATTATGAGTTTTCAGTGTATCAAGAGTGAAACTTTTAATATATTAAGTATTGATGATAACATGATTGTGCATCCCAAACAATAACCTACCTAGTACCTATTGACAACGATTAGCTTTACCACAGGTTTTTGTACCTACAAATGCTGACAGAAGTTGGGGTCAGCAAGTTCAAAACCCCCGAGTTTTGGACCCTTATCTTCTTTCTGTTTGTTGCTGGTCTTGGTCGAATGTTACTTCACTACGTTGGCCAGTATATACTACTACAAATCTGGGACGTGCCCGTCACCAAGTTTAAACCCAAGTGGTACACGTGCGAATTGATATACTTCTCGGAGACCCTGGATTATTTCAAGATAATTGCGCTAGTCGTCATGGGTCCGATGTCAAACATCATGTTCTTCATAGCCCTGGTAACCACTGCAGCTGTTTCTTATCGTCTCATGGGATTTTTCCCAAACATAGCTTCCCAGTTCATCTCCGCATTCGGTGTGATGACCTTCTTTGACTGGTTGATCGTGCTGATTATTGACTGCATGACGGGACGATATGAACCGTCTACTGAAGTTGGGATGGAGGGGATCGTCGGGGACGCTTTTAAGTTATACGAGGTGTTTGACAGGAAGGAAAGTAACGGTTTAGTCGGGGCCTTTCTTACTATCTTCATCTACTTCTTTCTTTCATTTCTGAGTGGTGTGATATTTTACATGTACTACCTGAGGATACATTTGAACGGGAGGTTGCTGGACATATTTGTAAGACTTACTGGAAAAAACGAGGATTTCTTTGTCCCACATGATCTAGAGGTTAGCAAATTTCAATACTTTGGAGAAAAAATATCAGTATTTATGTTTCTTTAAAGTTTGAATGTTGTGTGTGTGAAAAATAGATGCAACAAGTTAACACTTTTACTGTGAACAGTCGGAAAATAAATATTTTAAGCTTAACGAAAATATTACTTACTGCAGATAAGCCACGCAGAGTTGGACTTTATCGTGACAAAAGCAGAACAGTGGAGAGGCGAGGAGGGCGAGAGACGAAAAACAGCTATCTACGACTACGTCTGGGAAGAGGAGGTAAGCACTAAGCAGTGGTAATTATCTAGTTAGTAATTAATAGTAATTATCGAGTTAGTAATTTATAGTAATTACCTTGTTAGGCTTCAGCGTCTTTTATTTTGATCATTTTAAAGGCTTCACCGTCTTTAATTCATCGCAACCAGTCTTTAAATTTGCTGGTAGAAGTAAGGTCAGAGTGTGGAATGTTATTAAATTATCTCTGTTTATTCCAATTCCATGAGGAGGTGTTCTAGCAAATGTGTGGGCGAAATTGCGATTATGTCGCTTTATGTCGCGCGAGGTTTATTTCTCAGAATTGTGGGTATGTCGCTTTTATTCGGATCCATAAATAACGAAAAGTTACTTGCGTGCGCGTATTTTTATATAGTTTTATAGAGTTACATATTGTGAATCTGCTGAGCCTTTAGTAGCACGGCGGGTAAGGCGGCTTTAGTAAACTAGCTCATCCCGGTTCGAGCCTCGTCAGGGGTCATTTTTTTGGCATTTATTGATTACTTTACTACAATTATCAGCAGAGCACCTTAGTAATACACTATCAGATAAATTATACTGTTCGGACTTCAGCTAGAGAAGACTTGCCTTTAAGAATTTGTCCGGAGAAGGCCTCGTTCACACTGGAACATGTCAAATGGTAAACGGAGTTTAAATCTGTTAATGGTTTTTTGTTGTTAATGGTTAGAATTTAGAATGGAATCAATTTGATGAGGATCCAGAGTTAATTACCTGCTAGGATTAATAAGTCAGTTCTACAGTTGAAGAGGTCACTTTTTCAAACTTTTAATGGCGAAATTGGCTCGGAACTTCATTCCTAGATTCATCACTTTCAGTTAGTAACTACGGTGTACCATGGAACCAGTTAAAGCATCGGGTCAATTCAAAACATTCACATCCCATATTCTTAAATCTACATCATTCACCAAAACCAGCTTGACCACTTAACTTTTCATTACTAATTGCAATATGAGAGGCGAGAGCCTGTAGCCAGGAACAGTACCTTTAGATTTCGACCGTAACCGGACCATTTTTACCGTTACCGGACCATATCATCTTCATCTTGTGGCATGGTTCCCAAGCCTGATAGTAATACATATGCACTACGGCAGTATCTAGTATACCCTGAGCGGTGGAGATCTATCATTGTATTGGTGAAACTTCTCTCAATAAATCACTGTTCGTTACCTGTTTATTAAAGGTTTTTCCAATCAATATCATGTGTGATAATCCAGCCAAATCTATTTTTCAGGAACCATAAACAATAGTCAATAAACATACAATACAAGGCCTTCTCCGGGTAGTCTTCTCCAGACAGTATTGATCTATGTAAACCCGCGCACGCACCTACCTTTTTGCAATATTTAGGATCAAATTTGTGCGCATAACCATAGTTTTGAAAAGCGACATAGTAGTGGGCTAAAGTAGTGGATGACCTTGCTGTACGGCAAGTTAAACAAGGATCTGAAACTACTAGGTTCCGTACAGACTCAACTCTGCACCCGTGTCAATATGTTCATTATATGCAAGCCTCTTGATTTATAATCACCGAGTCTAGTAATTGTTTAAGAGAGTTCTCTGGCAGTTACGAAACTCGAGAGACTGTGGGATACTGAAGGGAAAGGAAGCAGTTCTAACGAGCTCTTCTCAAACACAAGGATATAACTTGTGAACTCGGCTAGTATATATGAAACATTTGTCATGGAGTTGTAGAGGGAGTTATGTGCCTCGCCGGGCTAAAGTAGTGGATGACCTTGCTGTACGGCAAGTTAAACAAGGATCTGAAACTACTAGGTTCCGTACAGACTCAACTCTGCACCCGTGTCAATATGTTCATTATATGCAAGCCTCTTGATTTATACCCACACTTTGAGAAGAAAACATCTACTGAATTCCATTAATTGTCAAAAAAAGAGTTGATGAATCCAGATTTTTGGAACATTTTTGGAACATTTTTGGAACATGTCCCAAAATTGTCCCAAAAGTGTCCCATGCATTTATTTGCCCTAATAAGCTCTAAATAGTGCCAAAAATAATTGTAAATGATGGATATAGTTGCAAGCTAGGTCTAGGGGCCATCGAAAGTAGCATAAAATTACCCAGGTTCATGGAATGAACGAAAATGAACAAAAATGAATATTGTCCTAAAAATGCTCAGAACGGTTTAAAATTGGTCGGAAAGTGTTTATATTAGTCCTAGGACCACTCAAACCAAGTTTGGGAATCACTGCATGTCTAGAACCGATGTTACCAATGTTCCAAAATGTTCCAATTTTGGGACAATAATCCTCCTGAGAATCCAGATTTTTGGAACATGGGCACATCGAAGTATTGGCTGTATTTAAGTGCTGGGAAGCCTCAATTCGGTTTTCTAAGATGGATATAGGTAAAAACTAGGCCTAAGAGCCATCAAAACTCAAATAACATTACCCATCATTTTCATTTTCGTTCATGGAATGAACGAAAATGAACAAAAATGAATATTGTCCTAAAAATGCTCAGAACGGTTTAAAATTGGTCGGAAAGTGTTTATATTGGTTCTAGGACCACCCAAACCAAGTTTGGGAATCACTGCATGTCTAGAACCGATGTTACATATGTTCCAAAATGTTCCAATTTTGGGACAATAATCCTCCTGAGAATCCAGATTTTTGGAACATGGGCACATCGAAGTATTGGCTGTATTTAAGTGCTGGGAAGCCTCAATTCGGTTTTCTAAGATGGATATAGGTAAAAACTAGGCCTAAGAGCCATCAAAACTCAAATAACATCACCCAGGTTCATGGAATGAACGAAAATGAACAAAAATGAATATTGTCCTAAAAATGCTCAGAACGGTTTAAAATTGGTCGGAAAGTGTTTATATTAGTCCTAGGACCACTCAAACCAAGTTTGGGAATCACTGCATGTCTAGAACCGATGTTACCAATGTTCCAAAATGTTCCAATTTTGGGACAATAATCCTCCTGAGAATCCAGATCTTTGGAACATGGGCACATCGAAGTATTGGCTGTATTTAAGTGCTGGGAAGCCTCAATTCGGTTTTATAAGATGGATGTAGGTAAAAACTAGGCCTAAGAGCCATCAAAACTCAAATAACATTACCCAGGTTCATGGAATGAACGAAAATGAACAAAAATGAATATTGTCCTAAAAATGCTCAGAACGGTTTAAAATTGGTCGGAAAGTTTGGGAATCACTTCATGTCTAGACCCGATGTTACCAATGTTGTCACAATAATCCTCCTGAGCATCCAGATTTTTGGAACATGGGGACATCGAAGAGCTGGGAAGCCTCAATTCGGTTTTCTAAGATGGATATAAAAAACTAGGCCTAGAGGAGCCATCAAAAGTCGAATAATATTACCCAAGTTTATAGAATGAACAACGAACATGAAAATTTTCCTCAAAGCGCTCAGAATGGTTAAAAAATGGTGGCAAAGAGTCAATATTTTCATCCAACAGGGTCTTAAAGTTGCAATCATAATTATGTACAATTAGACAGAAATTATTTTATTGGGCAAATATTTTGGTTTTAATAATCCTCCAATATTTTGATATAAATTTTTGACATCACTAGCTGTATTTGAGTGTGCTTTGTATTTTGAAAACAAAGATAACAGTCATTTAGTAAACAGCAAATTAAATTCTACGTTTATTATCTAGTAAAAATACTGTATGTTATAAAATACTGTATATTATAAAATCTGTATATAAAAATAAACTACTCAATTACTCTACAGTAAGACTTCTTTATACAGACCGTTTTAACGGACCAGGTGGAGATGAAAATGGATTTTGTCGTTGTGTCGGGGTTCAGTCTTCGTCTTTTTGTCAATTTTAAACCGTTCTGAGCATTTTTAAGTTTTTAGGACAATATTCATTTTTGTTCATTTTCGTTCATTCCATGAACCTGGGTAATGTTATTTGAGTTTTGATGGCTCTTAGGCCTAGTTTTTACCTATATCCATCTTAAAAAACCGAATTGAGGCTTCCCAGCACTTAAATACAGCCAATACTTCGATGTGCCCATGTTCCAAAGATCTGGATTCTCAGAAGGATTATTGTCCCAAAATTGGAACATTTTGGAAAATTGGTAACATCGGTTCTAGACATGCAGTGATTCCCAAACTTGGTTTGAGTGGTCCTAGGACTAATATAAACACTTTCCGACCAATTTTAAACCGTTCTGAGCATTTTTAGGACAATATTCATTTTTGTTCATTTTCGTTCATTCCATGAACATGGGTAATGTTATTTGAGTTTTGATGGCTCTTAGGCCTAGTTTTTACCTATATCCATCTTAGAAAACCGAATTGAGGCTTCCCAGCACTTAAATACAGCCAATACTTCGAATTGCCCATGTTCCAAAAATCTGGATTCTCAGGAGGATTATTGTCCCAAAATTGGAACATTTTGGAACATTGGTAACATCGGTTCTAGACATGCAGTGATTCCCAAACTTGGTTTGAGTGGTCCTAGGACTAATATAAACACTTTCCGACCAATTTTAAACCGTTCTGAGCACTTTGAGAAGAATGTTCATTTTCGTTCATTTCTGGTCATTCCATGGGTAATTTTATACGACTTTTGATGGCTCCTAGGCCTAGCTTACGGCTATATCCATCTTAGAAAACCGAACTGAGCCTTCCCAGCACTCAAATACGGCCAATACTGTGATGTGCCCATGTTCCAAATTTATGGATTCATCTACTGCAAAAAAAAAATAATAGAACGCGCATGAATTATTTTATATACAAAGTTTTAACGCTACCAACGAGTGTGGTAAAATCTTAGCGCGCGCACAGTATTTATCGCATCACGCACGTACTTTTGCCAGCCAAATATAAATAAGTTATCTCCATTCATCGTTTTTATCTCCCCAGATCACCGAAGAGTGGGATGACACGGCCTCAAAAGACGTAGACAAATTCAAGATGGATGTAACAACGCATGTGTCGATACATACTCTGCATCTTGACGGACTGAGGGAGCTATTCAGACACTTCCTGCGCTTGTCTGACGGTGCTATCCTGGAGGTGGGTATTATGAATAATACTAATCAGAATAATACTAATCAGAATTTTTATGCTCAGAAGTCAGATCTGCTGAAACTGAATTTTCGTGTTATCGTAATGATCATTTGGCATTTACTGATGTGGAAACATCAAATCTCGAGACTTCATTTCTATTCAGTATTCTTTGAGTTGGGGATAGTGAAAGTAGCACAATAAATATGAATTTTATCAGGTGTTTGGTGAGGCTGGCTTCCTTGGACTGGACGAGGCTGTTAAATCTCAACTCAAAGACAAATTTGACGACATGCAGGTTATTTGTTCTGCTATACAAAATATTTTCACACTGACGTTTTTATATTTTCATGATTGTTTCACCTATTATTAATTTAAGGAGACTACTTATGATCGGTAGAAAACGCCAACTTATAAATGTATATTAGAGTAACGATTATGTTAGCTCCACCTCACTGGCAACTTGTAATCTAGCAAACTCTAAAAATTAGACGTTAAAATGATATAATCAATTCTGTTTTCACTCACTAAACACTAAATATCCAGGTTCAAGTGAACACCACCCTCAACCGAGCAACCACCGCCAAACACCGCTCCCTAAATCAGAGCAGGGCCACTCTCCTCAGCAAAACGTCCGCTCACCGTACTGACGGGTCACGTGCTGGGTCACGTGTTCCCAGTCTACACTCCAGGGCGGCGTCTAGACCAAGCAGTGCTACGTCCAAGTCCAGTGTTAGATCAAGACAGAGTGTCAAATCCTACTCGTCCAGCGGCAAGAAGAATCTATGATGCGATATTTCACTATATTTCCAGGAATCGTTCGTATAGCTTTCCCTTCTAGGACTCCAGCTAGATCACGACGCGTATTAGTATTACGCTCACTAACTTACGCTGATTATTAGCAATAGCGGTAATTTACGAGATTTGGTTTGAAATTATGCTTGAAAGTAAACAGGGACCAACATAATTGATATGACAACGAATCCTGTGACTTTGTACGATAGTATGATATATATCAAATGATTATTAGATTAGATGATATATTAACATTCCATTAACAGCTTAACAGGAATTAGGAAGCTTTTTCACGGGCGAATCAAATTTCCAACTCAGTAGATCATCAAAAACATTGACCGACAAATTTCTGATTTTTATTACTGACCCTTGTTTTTCATATTTTGTCAAAATTATAACAATATTGTGTAATTTATTGATATGTAGTGCAATTATATGCAATATAATATAGAAGTAGGCTCAGCTGTTGAATTATAGTATGTTGTGTAACTGAATTTTAAATAAAAATATGTATGATCAATTGATTAACATTTTATTCCTGGTTGACGAATAATGGATAGTGGTAATTTATCCTATTCTTTGACAAATATTAAATACTTTTATATTTCTCAGTGATCACTAACTTTTAACCTATTTTCAATTTGATTGAGTAAATTTAGAATATTTTCAGCTGTAAATATTTCGTAATTTTGATTAAATAAATTAGCAACAGCCATGTGTTTATTTTATCCATATTACTTTCAGTAAAAACGATAAATTCACTGGGGGGGGGGGGGGTCGAACTATATTAAAGTATATTAAAATGTAGGATTTTTCCCGATTTTGACCCGGGGATATACTTTAATATACTTTAATATACCTACAATATACATACTTTAATATATCCCTATCTCCTTGGAGGCCTACATCAAAAATTGTTGCCGAAAATAAGCTTGAAATGCAATTCTTAATCGATTCCAAAAATTTCTTGAAAAAATATTGAAAACTGATGGAGTTATTTCAATTTTAATAAAGTCATTTTGGCTAGTATTCCTAACCGAGATATTATGTGCAATTTTCCCAATTTTGTTCATGGATGTCTTTTTACTTAGTATCCACTATATTCAACAAACACTGAGTTATATCTTTCACATAGAGTTAGTCTCATTAAAAAATATTGACATTTTATCGAATTTGGGCAAAAGCGTATGCCCAAATATGGGCATATTTTTTAAAGCTCATAGCTCAGCCAATTTTTGACCAATCTGGATGGAAATTCATGTACTAGTCCTAAAACAGGCTTATCTTGCGAATCTGAGTGAAAAATATAGTTCATCATGTAAATCTTAACGAAGAATATAAATCTTCTAATTGTAGGTATATTAAAGTATATTAAAATGTAGGATTTTTTCCGATTTTGACCCGGGGATATACTTTAATATACTTTAATATGGTTGCCCCCCCCCCCCCCCCCCCCCCCCCCCCATTCACTTCTAGAAAAAGTATTTCTCACCTTTAATAATATCCTACTACAGTAAATAAATTTAAATATCGATATTCTATTGCGACTTTTTTATACGAATTGGGTGTCGAACCATTTGCCATCTTGAATTGCAGTATTAGTTTTACGACAAATCAGAACATTGCAGCAAGTCAAACAATTATAGCCGATTCCAAATTTCTTTTTAGTCAATAACCGGGCCCAAAAACCCTTCTCTCCCACCTATATAATAATAACTCATCCAGTGGAGAGAAAAAAAAACTGCCGGCCGTACTATACACTTCAGATTGCAGATCAAATGTCCTTTTGAGGAGCCAAGCCGTAACGTACGTAACGTACGTGCATCATTGTACTCGCGCGCACCCTGCAAAGCTAACCTCGTTTATATTTCTACCTTTACGAAACCGCGCGTCTTCCGATAACTACAACATTACACAGTGACCGTTGAGTGTGCATACCCGTGAGCGTCGACTCCAAATCTTCAGAGGTTCAAGAATCACGATTCGATACTGATAACTTGGAATTTGAATCAGTGAATGACCAAGAATTGCGAGTTATAAATTATTTTTCGCTCATGCATAAGCTAGCTTGCACTTCGATCAAGTGTGCGACTTTGTAACTGGATTTTCATCAGATCGTAGAAAATCTGGAAAATGTTCGCACAATATTTTGGAGACAAAGCACAAGCGATTACGATTTCACAATAAATTTCTATAATTAAATGTAACAAATATTGGTAGAAATCCAAACAACTGATTAACCATATTAACCATTCTAGCTCAGCTAGTTCAAAGATTCTATGCCCTTCTCTCCTCAAAAAGCTCCGTTTTTCAACTGAAGAATAAGTTGATAAATTGTGAAGTTTTCTTTTACATTAAGTCATAGCTAGAAAAGGTCCCGTCACCCCGGAGGTTCAATATTGGCCCTGTTTAGTCTGATCGGAGGGGGAACCGCTGGGTCTCAATACCATTAGCATCTACCACACTAATCTCAACCTCGTCACCAGTGTAAATGTCACGTTCAGAGGCAGCAGCAAAGATGTCACGGACCATGGTACGGGCTCTGTCACGTGATAGAGGTGTTGGGTCTACGTTCGACTGAAAATAAGGGGTATTTGTTGGGTCATCTTGTTGTTGCGAACATTGATCATTGATAAAATCAAATAAATACTAGTCTTATAATATAAACAGTTATAATAATTAATGTCATATTATGTATTATTATCTATCATATTAATATTATATATGTATATATTATTATGTATCATATTGGTCACTGACCTGGTTTTTATATCCAAGTTGGTTGTCCAGAAGAGGTTGAATAATAGCAGAAGCAGAACCACTAGCTCTGTAAGTCTCACGCTCGTAAGATCCAACAGGATCGTAGCTGAAGACACACCCTGAAAATAGTGATGTTGTGATCACATTTTAGGAGAACTTCAGTTCAATTAGTGAACAAGTTTATTAATTGTCTCTCTATCATGTGTTTATGTTTGATAAAAAATGTTTTTGGGAATGGTCCACATTTTACTTTTTGTCCATTTTTACTCCCTTCCCCTCAAATCTTGCCAGCAACATCAACCAACCCCCCCCCCCCCCCCCCTACCTTAAACATCAGCTTTTTGTGAATGTGGAACTTCAAGTTTGTTGCCACAATTTGATAAATAGTTTATTTTTAATTTATATTACCTTTGCCGTTGTTATCAATGCCAGCAACCATGTTGTAAACCCAATAAGGAAAGAAACGTCTGTAGTAGAGGGTAGAAGACAACATCTGAGCCATTGCTTCGCAAGACATGTCTTTACCGTGAGTGTGTTTGTATTGCTTTAATCTGGCATCTAAACTCTGAAAAATAACACATTACAGAAGCAGGCCAGACTAGAAACGTAATAGTGTGATCAGTGAAAATAACAGCACTGCAGTTGCATAATATTTAAACTAAATGTGACGAACCCTCTAAAAATAAATCCTTACCTTACGAGACATATTTATGTTCGACATAATTCCGGTGACCTGAATGATTTGGGAACGAAAATATGAGAATTTTTACCGAAAACCGCCACATTTTGTACCCCAAATTAAATCATGTTATTTGGGGATTTTTTTTCATCTCCTTATTTTACAAAAATGAAACCCAATATTTGAGAAAATTAAATACAAAAAATCTTCTCTGATCAGCTGTTCCATCTTGTGAACAATTTCTCCGGAGCCTTTGAAAGTTAGCCTCAACTTAACTTATAATCCTCCAGAGGGTATATGAGACCGACAGTGTTTGTTATCTTCCACTAATCCCGAAATTTCACCGCCGTGGCCAATAAAGTAGTGACAGAGCTTGCTAATTTTTAATGGAACGTGTCCAAAATCATTTTTAAAGTAATTCATGATCGCATACTAGTATAGTGTCCATTAATTGTTTGATGGATCATATTTATAAATTATTATATTGAAAAGTTGATAGTAAATCAATTAAGTCATAATTAAGGAAAATACATGAAAAATAATTTGAGGAAAATAATGATGGTGATTGGTGACCTAAATTTTGGTAGTCCGAAAATATGGTGTTTTTTTTTAAAACCACCGACTTTCGTACCATTTAAATATGTCTCGTAAGGTAGTCAAAATAAGCACATCACCATGGAGATGAAACCCCTACCTTAGTCAAAGTAAGCACATCACCATGGAAACCAACACATCCCAACAACCCACTCTTTGTCATCTTCTTGACTTTAGAAACATCACGTGATAAGATGGAATATCCTTCACTGAGTCGAGTGTCACAACCAACCACTGAAAAATCCTCCCCAGCAACAGCTACCACTGTTCCTGATCGGATGAAGAAACGGTAAAAGATTGATTAGATTGAAACTTTAATAGTTATTAAATAATAAAAATGCATCATAAATTATAGACTCAGATGCAGTCAAGGAGGTGAACTATAATTCTTTTGTTACGCGACATTGATCTGTGGATTATATGATTACAATTGCAAAACAAATGGACATTTTATAGTTTATTAGAGTTCCCTCCTACACTACCTAAACGATTCGCACTGGAGCACATACTGAGATAAAACCCTGATTTAAAACTCTCCAATTTAACATTAACTGTACAATTTGCTTGTTCTGATTGAACGGTACATCCTGAGTCGGTACACAGTACCAAAGTGTGAACTGGAAAATACACTTCAGAATACTGTGCATGTGGTGCACACGTTGACTTGATGCAATCACAGAACAGTACAATATATATTATAATAAGTGAGCTTACGGTAATTTCACAACTTTAAATCATTTATATTTCGAATAAATCTGACATAACTGAGATTTTATTTTTTGTCTGTGACTTTATGGTTTATCAAAGGAAGACTATTCTTTGCCAATCTCAATAAATGTAATTAAGGGGGTATACACCAAAACAGGGCCGGGGTTTGTGTCGGCCAGATATGAATAATGATTGACTTATAGTGAATAGTCTCTCAATAAAACAAATTATGCTTTTCCGAAAAATGCACTTTAACCAGGAAATGCTCGATTACAGAATTAATATGTATTCTTAAACAATTTTTTGGTGTGGAAACGGTGCGCTAGATGGTCACTGAACTTTCTATGAGGTCATTTGGGCGGGACATTTTTGGTGTATGCCCCCTTAAGAAAGGAGAAGATATCTCAAGACAAACCTCCATTCTGAGCGTAGGGAGAGAATCTGTGTTGAACAGTAGGGTGCACCTTATAGTGGTCATCAACTAACACTGCCATATCAATGTTGTGTTTTCTTTGCTACAAAATGATTTACGTCAAATTTTATTTACTTCAAAATGATAGCTACAATCGAACTTCTATTTTTCATAGCTCATATCACACACGCAATATACAGCACCAAAAAGTTGAAGTAATTTGAATTCAACCCTTATATTATACTCAGCTGTAAAAGATAAAATTCTAACTTCTTTTTTTTTAATTATTAAAAGATACTTAAAAACTTGATAAGTTGTGCCTACAGAATACCAATTTTACGATGAAATGAAATGAAATGAAATGAAATGAAATGAAATGAAATGAAATGAAGTGAAATGAAATGAAATGAATCGAAATGAAATGAAATGAAATGAAATGAAATAAAGCATTTTTATCCCGCTTATATCAACAATCCAAATAAAAAATAAAGATTGCCGATGTCAAAGCAGCTGGCCTCGCGATATAATCCAAAAACTAGATACTCAATGGCACGCTTGTTACACCAGCTTTAGCATCAAAGTGGAGCAAGGATGAGGATGGGATGTGCAAGCTGTGTGGTGACAAGTTGGGAACTGTGCCGCATATCCTGGCTGGTTGTCCTGTGGCACTAAGTCAAGGGAGATACCGTTGGCGCCACGATAAGGTGCTTAAACAAATAGCAGACCAAGTTAAATTCCATTGTGAGCGGAGAGTCAACAAGAGGAAGAGTTCTTGTGTCACCCGGAAAGCCATTGAGTTTGTTCCAGCAGGAGGGAGGTTTAAGGAGGTGAAAAGGTCGAAAGTCAGTGAGTTTGGGATTCTGAGTGGGGCCACTGATTGGATAGTATTAGCAGACCTGGATAAGCAGCTGAAATTCCCGTCGGATATAGCAACGACCAGATTAAGACCAGATTTGGTTCTTTTCTCGAAAGCTTCCAAGAGAGTAATCTGGTGGGAGCTTACAGTACCGTCGGAAGAGAGAATAGCTGCATCCCATGAGCTTAAGCTTGATCGGTATAACAGTCTACAAGCGGAGATACAAGCTAATGGGTGGCCATGTTTTAGCTTTGCTGTTGAGGTTGCTGCAAGAGGTGTGGTTGCAGCAAGTTTGGAGTGTGCATCAAGGAAGATTGGTCTGACTGGGAGAGCCCTCAAGAAGTTGGTCAGAGATTGTGGGAAGGATACAGCCCATTGTTCAAGATGGATTTATCTGCTGTCTAGGAAAAGAGAGTGGGAGATGAGAGCTGTTTGAGCTTTATGACTTCACCTAACAGCCAGAGGTGCCATAAGCTAACTCGTTGTAAATCGCGAGCTCTAGCAGGTATCCTCGGGTGATTGTCAGATCAGATGGTGGTCCAAGAGAGACTGCTGGGGCGCCTGACAGAAAACCGTATCGCAATGAAAGCCCCGAAACGGTGTCAGGTTTGTGACTGAAGATTCTGATCAAGCTCAGGGTTGAGTCTACACAGACTCAACCCTTTTTTTTAGCACTGTATAGTTTAAGATATTTATAGCTTATTATAACCATTGATACAACGACCATAATTTTTCACCAGCTCTCCAATATCCATCTTAAAGTTGCATTTTATATCCTCAAACTACACAATTTAAACTTAGGCATATATAGTGTAGACTTTCTGTCACAACAAGACTGTAACCCATAGTAACAAACACAAACAGAACCCCTAACGTCTGCTAACAATTTTCTTCTGATGAGCCCTGTCTCTAAAAACTCAACTGAACTAGCGTTTTGGTGTGTGCAAAAGCTTTCAGGCACGCACATTCCCTGCCCCGTTCGCGTTAGTTACATGTCCCTTCAAAATCAAACTAACAGTCAAGGACAAAAAGTCATACACCAAATGAGCATTATATTTTTAATATAAATTGTTTTACATCTCTTTATTCTGTAAAATGTGCTAAAAATTAAATTTCTTGTTTCATTGAAAAAATTTCTTGTTTCATTGAGTGTCGCCACTTGCCGATGCCAGTTGTTGCGAGAAGACACTGATGTAAGTGGGAAGTTATGTCTAAGAAACAGCGTGTGGTTCGGGGTGCCAGTTGAACGCATGTAAAAGGGAGGGTATATATCCGTATTTCGCTGCTAGTGATGCAGTCCTTGGCCCAGTAGCTAAGGCTTCCCCGTTTCTCGCTCATTTGTGCTCTGATGGGATTGTGACCTCTGCGGGGGTCAAGTGCAGGATGAGTGACATGGCCGACCAGGAGAAGGTTGTTTTTGGGAGGTGGAGTAGAGTTGGTTTGGTGTTGTGCCTCCGCAGTTTAACTGTATCTTTACCCTTGAATATTCTAGTAACAAATATAAAAACCAAAAGTACTTATTTGACTTCTTTTTTTTTAAATGTATCACACACGGTAAAAACTTATGGACGTATATCACTCATTATTATGTATCACGGTCTATCAACCTCTGATGGATAGCTCGATCTTCAGGTGATTGATCTGGAGATACGAAAACAGTATAGTGATCTTCACACAGTCTCAATTTTTGGCATTTACTAATATTTGATGAACGGTACTAGAATTACCTAGCGAAACTTTGACTGGTCTCGTCTTGTCGGCTTATTTCCTCCCAACCCGGATAGCTGCGAAAAGTGGTTTTTCTTCAATCTGCTGAAAAATCACGTCAACTTTATTGCACAGTTTCTCTTCATCAGTCTCCTTCAAACCAAAGATGAGCACATTCCTACTGCGATCCTCTTCCAATACAGCATTCTGTACAACCTTTTTCAAACTCTTTTCTGTAAGCACAGGTGCAGTTTTAGACACAGCTTGACTTTATGACTTCATCTCAGCTTGGACAGTGTCTTGAACGGCGCGGTGGAGTGCACGGATTCCAACTGCTTCGATTTAATTTCCAGAATTTCAGCCTGCAGCTTGATAACAGTACTTTGCGATCGGATAAGATCGCTCTTCAACTCCTCCATATCTTTCTTGATATCCAGAAACGTTTCATTCATTGACTAAAACTGACTTCACTGGCTCTTTTTGAACGTTTCAACTGAAAACTCTGTTTTATTGTCACAGTTCGTAGATTCCAAGAGTTCAGTGAATTAACAGTGATTACATAAAGAATCTGAAAAAGAGTTGACTTCAAAATTACAATGGAAAATTGCAATGCAATATTGCAATGCAAGATTGCAATGATTTTGATAAAATGACATTGTGATCCGGCGTGATCAATTATTTTAAGTGTTCAAGTAGAACAACTGCACCCCTGACTTATTAACTAGGGATAAGAGACGTATATGTTAGGACATTTGTATTTTGATAAAATTTAAAGTTTGGTGTGTGAATTACATTTTCATTTTGAAGGATTGAAATATTAATATTGGATATTGGAAAAGCATATTTTGGCCTTAATAATAATGCAGCTTAGTTCTAAGTCTCCTGTATTCAAGAAGACGAGAGGTTCAAATGATCCTTTCTCTGTTCCCAGTATCCGATCTTGAAAGAGGTTTTTTTCTTCATGGTGCAGGTAGACGGACAGTAAAATTTGATGCGGCACATACATTAACCATCCTTTCATCAAAGAAAGTGTACTCAATTGCTGACTGTAGTCCACAACCAGACACATTGAGTCTAGCTCCATTGAGAAAAGACAATTTTTTTTTTTGAGAAAAGACAATTTTATTATTTATCACCAATTCAATACATAATCAATAAATATATATCCGAATAAATTTGATTAAAAATTAAATGATACAAGTATGCTAGCAGCCAGCGCGCTTATATTTGAGAAATATTCACGCTGTTAAAATGGGTTTTACCACACCGCCACTCACATTAGCACAGTTGGTGAACGGACCCAGGCGCTGTTAAGCTTTTATGAGCCCTGGTTGACTGCTGAGAGTGGCGAAGGGGCTGATATTAATTTTATCTTAGTTTAACCTAGATTCCAATAAGATTTTAGTTTTGTGTTATAATTATATGATTTTTATGTGATATTTAAGTTACAGCTGCTTGCAATACATTATTGCTTAAAAATTGTTAAATATGCTCGCTATACGCTTAATTTTAGATACCGTTTGTATATATACATATCAGCTCATAATACCAAATAACAATAATAAATAAATTAAAATAAAAGCATTGAAGAGGTCCAAAACCAATTCAAGCATGACACAAAGTTGAATACATTTTCATCGGAAGCTGCAAGCTTATTAACGTTTGATTCCGTACGTTCATGATCCGTTATTATGCATTCACCTTCAGGCGGTGTCGACGGATCATGCGAAAAGGGTTTTTGACAGGCTGTGCCCTTACCATAATTAAACTGAACCATTGCCTGATACGATGTAAACAAGAGTGTTGGATAGGTGAGCCGCGCAAGCGCTCGCGCATTTACATCAAATTCATATGGATTGACATGGAGTAATGCAATGGGGGTCCGAATATTCGAGCATCCTGTTTCTTTCGGGAGGTTTGCTATTGTATCTCTTAGAGAATTGTACCTCATTGGCACATAGCCTCCCTTTTTACAAGATATTATCATTAAATCTAAAATAGCTAACAATTTATTTAATTTATTTCATTATTAACAATTTATTTAATTATTAACCATCCTGATGATGGAGTAGATGAAGTGTTTTGAAAATTGTGTGAATATATTTGATTGTTTAAAGGCCTATGAAGAAAAAAAAAAAGAAAAAAAAAAAGAAAAAAAAAAAAAAAAAAAAAAAAAAAAAAGGGGGGACCCCCAACCCATGTAGCTGATACACCTCACAGCAAGTAGACCAAAGTGGCTCTTGCTTGTGAAGGGTGTATCAACTACCCGCCGAGGCGGTGGGTTGGGAGTCCCCCCTGGGATCATTTCGTCCGTAACATTTTACACATTATAAAAGCTACAATAAATTATCTATAAAATTTACATAAACAAACTTAAGAGACCTCAAAGCTCGTCTTCTGAGGAATGAGATTGAAGGATACGTCATCCAGTCCAAGGTGCTGGGCTTTTTGTCTTCCTCTGATTCCCCTGAGTGCTATGAGTGTGCTTCGTAGCAGATCAAACCTGAATCGTGTTCTGATGTGATTTTTGACCTGGCTCTTAGCTTCTTTATTGTGGTCAGCTATCCTTTCAGAAATACGATCTACAAACACAGTGCAGAGTGGGCCCATACCTCCGGATGTTGTAAAGACTAGTGGGACAAAGGACCCTTTCTCTGACTGAAGTACTCTCTCCTCATATAGATCTTTCTTCTCTTTCTCATGCGCACTGTAGATTTTATCTAGTGGCTTAAATGTATTGGAGTCGCAATTAGGATGAGTGACCCTGATGTCAAAGAATGTTCTTTCGAATGGTGCATACAGTCCAACAGCTGCTACGTCCAGACGGGCTTCATCCTGGGTGTTGGTCTTCCTGGAGAATGAAGTTGGTTGGACAGGTAGGAGTGCAGGTTCTATCCTTACATCCTTACACTTTGCTTCTTGAAGGAAGAAAGCTGCAGTGTCTCTAATGGCATTGTGGCGCATGCAAACATATCCACCTAATTTACAATCAAGGGAGTGGTAGACACTGTTTGCATGTCCGCAAGCACATTTAGAGGGCACTCCTTGGATCTTCCATCCATAGCGTAGGCGTATGCTGTCTTGGAACTCTTGCTTGTTTAGAACATAGTTGAGGTCCTTTAGAGGTAATGCTGAAAGCCATGTTGATGCTCCCTTCTCTCTTGCTCGGTTTAAGTGGTTCTTAAGAAGATGATCTGACCCATTATAAAGCATCTTGAACCTTTGTGATAGAAACTCATCTTTCTGTTTTCTCATTTCTTCTTTCTTTTCCTATGAAGAGCTTAAATGACCCATTCATTCATTCAGCCGTATGATACAAAGTAATGATGCAGTGGATGCAGACTAATTCTTTTGGATGGAGATCTTGCCATCAGCCATGTAACATGAAGATGTTTAAAGTTCAGAAATATTGGTAGCAATGAACCATATCGGTTACTTATGTATTGTGCTCTGCCAATTGCAACACTCGATTTGATTTTGCTTTAAGATAAGATAAGATAAGATTTAAAATTATGCCTCTCTGGGCATCTCATACAAATATAATTACTTCAAAACTGTACAATTTGCGTTTAATAAACTATTGAAATATAAATTAAAAGAAGTTAACTGAAAACTTCTTGGCTGATAAGTGCCTAAATAAGGCCTTTTAAATTGACCTTCTTCCTCTTAGCTATTATTGGATTATCTTTCATATAATTTCCCAGTGATGACCAAGCTTATTAGCTCGATATCCACTACTAAGCCGAAAGGCATCTAATCTACTTTTAAAGCCTGTGACTGATTTACAAGCTTTAACAAGCGGAGGCAGGCTATTCCAGTAGCGTAGTACTCTTTGGGCAAAGAAATCAGTCTCATTTGTGGTGAATCTATGAGTCTTTGATCTAGCAGCAACGGTCCTACCAGAACGACCAAATAAATCGGAACCGTAACCCACAAAGCCTTCCTGGATCTTGAACATCTCAATGAGATCTCCACGAACCCTGCGTTCAAGCAGGGTTGTGAGGTTCAGCTTATCCAGTCTCTCTCTGTAAGTCATGAGTCCCAATCCATCAATCATACGGGTGAACGATCTTTGAACACCTTCCAATTCAAGAATCAGTGACCAGTTTCCATACCTAGCCATTGGAGCCCTTACCTGGGGACCTCAGGCTATCATGTTCATAAACATATAGAGATTCGGCGGAATGACAGGCTGAGTGCTGCCCAGTAATTGGAGCCCATGCCTGTGAACAATACTCTATATGAGGCTTTACTATAACTAAAGACTTATACAAGCCCAGCATAACGCTTGTTTCCCTCGATATAATTGCTTTGCTAATTGCATCACTTGATTTAATTGAATTTATGTATTGTTTGAATGACTTTTCCCCCAAAAAATTACCCATCAATTTACAAGGTAGAGTGTAAACTTCTTTCAAACTTCATGAATCGAGCTCAAATCTTTTGCAATGTTTTAAGAATCAATAAATGCACTTATATAAATCACTTAGGATAATTTTGTAGGTTTACAACCTACCAGGACGCGCACCGAGTTGGACTCTTCGACGGTCCAATATATGGAACAGATATTTTACGAGTATCACCCGTTAAGGATAATTTTGAAAGAGAATAACAAGCTCACACATGTTATTGGAGGACGTGACTTCGCCGCTTCGACGCGCCGCGCGAACTAGCATTCTTGCTTCGCAGAGCAACGATCTCGATGGGTTGACATAGTCAACCAAACATGTTATTTTTTTTCTTCCTCCGTGATTGTAGCGCAATGCGTTACTGTGCCGCGCCGCGCACTCAATGAGGCTTCTCACATCTCTAGATCGACGAAATGCGCTACTATGCCGTGCTGAGCTGAGATGAATTGACATCGTCAATTAAGCAAGCGCCGTACTAGTTCATTAACAGTGGTCAAGTACCGCATAGCACAGTCACGACAAACTCTGATCTCAAAGTTTCCAGCTGTCATTACCTGGGGACCTCAGGCTATTATGTTCAATAGAGATTAGGCGGAATGACAGGCTGAGCGCGGCCCAGTAACAGCTGTCAGTGTAATTCTAATGCAATTATGAGCTTTTAGCAGCCATGCTTAAGATACGATATTGATAATATCATATGTAATTTACGATCCGTACAATTGTTACTGGGCCGCGCTCAGCCTGTCATTCCGCCTAATCTCTATTATATTATATTGTTTATCAACATTAAAGCCTGGGGTCCTCAGGTAATACAATTGCAAATTGACAATGTAATCAGGACCGTGGACGAGTTTAACTCGGCGCGCATCCTGGTAGGTTATAAACCTACAATGTAATTAGTCGAAATACTGGACAAAGATTAACCGATGGTTTAGTACCTGAGGACCCCAGGCTATTATGTTCATAAACAGAATATAAAAGATTCGGTGGAATGACAGGCTGAGCGCCGCCCAGTAACCGATGGTAAAACAGCCTAGTATTTGCGGGGCTTTTACTATTTACTTTCAAAACAAAATCAGGAAACGTTACAAGTAGGTACAGAGACAGAGATTGTGTACAATTATACCGGTAAGCTAAGTGTGAAGTGTATATAAGCTAGTGGTATTATATAAGAGAAATTTGCTATTCCATATTCTGTAATCTGTATGCCGTTGTTTTGAATAAGCATGGCCAGTCTGAATTCTACATCCGCTATCCAAAGATGGTGCGTGACCATTTTCACAGTTTTCTTCGCCGCGCGCTACGTCGAGTTATTGAAGGCTGTCAAATACCAAGGTTACACGCGAAATTCCTTTGTTAAGGTTGTTTCTGGGGACACTGATTAGAAATTACACTCATTTTGAAATATAAAACAACATTAAAAAGTGTTAAACATTCCGATAGAAGAACATTCCGATCTCTTTAATGATATTCATAGAATAGCGTTAAAATTTACCATGAATATATGATTATTACTCTGCAGTGATGAATAGACAATGAAAACAATAAAATTAAAAAAGCTGAGTCCGAGTTTCCGATTCAACGGAGGAGGGTGAGACTATTCATGCCATGATCTCGGTCTGGCATCGCCCGTGTGAACCAAAGTGTTGAAGTTATACATGTTTTCATTCTTCATATCCTTCTTTCTGTAATACTGAAACAAACATGTCGTTAGAAACTCATGGTTTTCCGTTTATTTTATTATTTACGAATTTGGCCTTTGGCAACGGAAGACTGATCAAATTACAGAAAGTCTTGGAACTTGATCTTGAGGAATGCGAAGCATCAACGTTGCTAGGCAAGTTGCTAAATGTTAATTGAAAAATTGTTCTACATGCGATCGGGGTATATGTTAAATTCTGTTCTCTGGGCGAGGAGTGGGAGCGATCTGTGTTCAGTAACCGACCTATCACAAATATGAAAAATCTCTGCTTTTCTGGGAGAATGTACAAAGGGCGTAATGTGATTATTGGTAACCATGAAAACGTAGCGGAGATTAATGATGTAACATGCCTTAAAGCGGCACATACCATCAAAGCGATCAGCCTTTCGTGCAGAAACGGGATTGTTTCCTGACATTATAACTTGAAAGTCGGAGGACCATTACACCGTTATTTTGCGCGGTCAGGATAAGATACCGACCAACTCGCAAGAGAGAGAGTGTATAAATAGAACTTGTTGATATTAGATCATTGATGACTTAACATTTTGACCGCAGCAACATTGAGCCAACATTTTATTAGTCGATCACACCTTTATCGAATTAATCATCTAATTGGCACACCAAATCGATAATGAAATAGTCTTATCTATAATGAGGACTTTACAACTTATCGCCATCTATACTACAGATCATCAAACTGTCGTGACGTCAGAGAGTTATCTGTGACGTCAATGGTGGTAAATAGTACAGCTTCTAGTTCTTACAAGGAAAGTGCAGTGTTCCAGTGAAATGTGGCAACATTGAAACAGTAACTAACTAGTAACAGTGAAACACTACCTCACTAAATGAACTTAGCATGTGACACTGTTTGCTAATAACTGTGACAAGAATGGCTGTGTTGTGCCCACCTCCGAATTTCATTTCTTTTGTTATTCGGTATAAATTGGGAATATAAAATTGTAATGTTTGTGTGGGAATTCGGAGTGTAAATTTTGCTGGTTTATCCAAATAATTGATGTGCAATATATCAAGTTTGATAAGTAAGTATTTATATTTCAGGTTTCTGATACATAATAATTTTACTGACAGGAAATTTACTACTTGGGGCTAATTCTGGGTGTCACGCTGTTTCACATTCCTCAAAAAAGTGTTTAAATAAAGTGTAAACAAACTAAATGTTTAAAAAGGTGATGTACGTGATGAAGCCTACCTCTCTAGTATCCGGACTAGGAGCACTGGATCTCAGAGTGAGTTGAGGCGAACCTGGCAACGGGCCAGCTGGCATGGGAGTTGGAGATGTGGTGGGTGTGCTGGAAGCAGTGCGCGGCGGGGCTACTGCTGCTGCCGTCGCTGCGCCGTTATCTAACTGCGTGCTGTCCAGTACACTTCTTATCTTTTCGTACCATCTGAAAATAAAAATCATTTAATTTGGAGAGTGAGCCTTTAAGGGGGCCGGGGGGGGGGGGGGGGGGGGTCTTCAAGCCAAGGAGACAAAAATATTGCCGGTAAATATTGCCGGTAAATTGGTAAATTATCCAGATGATTACTATTAGTTACTACAAACGTATCTTATATCTTAATATTTCCGAAAGACGAGAAAAAGACAAAATAATCGATACGGTAGGGATCGGTCTGCGAGCTTATATAATATGCGGTGTTAAACTAAATGGGAAGTTATCAGCACTAAGAGAATAACGATTAACAGGACCGTAGGGCGCGGCTCCCTACTCCCACGCTGTAACAGGGTCCTAGTTCAGACTCCTTTATCAAGCTTTCATTTCTTTGTTTCAATAAACCAATCATTAGTGTAAGTGTTGTACGTGCAGGACCCCCGGGGTGGAATGCACCTCCTGGGGTGGAATGCACCTCCTGACTCACAAAATATGCGACATCGTCTGAAAATGGCGGGGAGATACCGTGGTATTACAGTTATCGGACATTTCGCTACCGATACTATAATTTAGTTGTGGGCCACACCCAACTGGGTATCAAGTGGCTAATGATTGAGGCAATTTCTTAAGAAGCTTGTGCGAAGCACTGTTACATGTGACTAGCTTTTAAAAGATCCACCGATCCACAGTAAAAGTTGAGCTAACTTGACCACCAAATTCCAATCCCACATTCTTACACACATTCCAACCCGACCACTGATTAACCGATTACACACACTCTGGCATGTCAGTGAAGTTATTTGAGATATTATAGAGGCGGAACTGTGGGATATCCGATTAAAATACATTATTTCATTATCAGCACTTTCACGAGCTTGAGACGATCAAGGAATTTGAAGACTGGACAGGAAGACAGGAGTAGGGAGCTATGGAGACGGGGAAATTTCATGAATTATTCGGCACCTTATCATTTTTGGAATGCACTGCAGGGCAACTTCCGAGTTGTGTCATTAAGGGTGAGCAGATCTGAACTCTCCACAGAAAAGGTGAGATATCTCGGGTATAATAGCTCGCAGTATCATCTTCAGTTAAAATTGGTCAGAGACCACGCTGCGCGGACGAAGCTAAACAATGACTTATCATTCCGGGCACTAACATACCATTCCTTTGTTTGCTTTCTAACTAAATATTGTTTGTCCCGCGTGGAGGGAGATGTGTGGCGACAAATGTGTCACGTGACACCCCCCCCCCTCATACTTGAGTTTGTAAAGCATGGGACCTAGGTAACATGAGAACGCAACACAAGGAGAAAGCAGAGGAGACATGAAACATTAACTGTTTAATTGCATTTTATTAACTTAATCAAGGATCATTTTGAGGTAAAGTAGAAGCTTCTTTGCCCTGCAGCACAAAGACGAAGTCACAGCGGTTAACCGATCAGCTGACTGCATCGACCGTTAAGATATGTAAGATATGTAAAATATGTCTGTCTGGTATAAGGAAACATCTGCTCCACTTTCGCTACTGCATTCCAGTATACTACTTATTTAAGAAAAAAGCAAAATCGATATAAAAGAGACACCTTTACAAGTACTACAAGTATTAACATTTAAAATTATTACCTGTCGTAAGAATGCTTGTTCTCGTTCGCGAACACCAAGACGGAATTCCACCGTTTCATGGTGGGTGGAATAAGCGCAAAACAATACTTGTAGTCGCGCACGGACGTAGCCGCGCAGGAGTAACCCGTCAAACACAGCACCTCGTGCGCTTTCTTGTCCTCGATGTTGTAGTAGAAAAACATCATGTTGTCCTGTAAAGTAAGAAGTTCAGTACTGGGAAATGTTTGAAATGTGCTGGAAATCAGAATTGGAATGTGATCACGGAAATCAAGGGGAACATCTGATAAAGGTAATTTAATTATTGTCGCCAGTTCCGATGGAATGTGGAGGGAAGTGACCTTGGCAATAAAGTTACAGTAGAAGTAAACGAATTACCATCATGTTTGAGAACTTGAGAATGTTTGGTGTGTAGCTATAATATGCTGTGTATGGCCAGAATGTTACGGATTACTGTGAAAAATTCGATGAGGGTCTCATTTTTGCCGTCTTCCTTTCTTTCTTACGAAAGATCCATCTACAGCAAGAAAAGCTGTCTATTACAGCCGATGTGGTCATACGACAAACTTAAAATTAGATATTTCTAATGATAACGCAATTTATTAGCTCAGTAAATGAGCTTGACAAAAACCACCTCACAAAAGCTTGAAAACCATTCTAGAAACTTTCTCTAAACACACTTGCTCGTCCAGAACAAAGGAAAAAAGCATGGTCATGAGAAAAATAGTGAGAAAGTGTGTGTTCAAGGCCATATCGCAGGCTGCAATGCATGCCATTGTAACATTGTAACACGTGTACTACATATTATATCTGATATCTTCGTGTACAATGTATAATCTATTATATAATGTGATCCTCATATGCACAGTGGATTTTCCAACTGTAGTTTCAGAGGGCAGGGCGCCCTACGTGAACACTAAAATTAGACACTCTTAACATGTACACACGCAGCATTCTTCAGAGTCCAACAATGTGCACTGAACTAGGGATGAAGCAGCGAATACATGCACAAGAAGGAGCAGCAGGGCTGTGTGTTTCTGTGTTTCTACCACGATGAGAAGTTGGGCGTGAGTGCGTTTTTAACATGCCTCAAATTCCAGGGATGAGGGGAGGAAAGCAAACAAGGGGACATGCCCGGCACGCCCATGGTACTGTTAAAGTTTGTGAATTTCCCTCTGATCTTACATGATCATAGGATTTGGAAACATTAAGCTACGCTGCTGTGACTCTGTCGGCTTTCGTTTGAGAGAGAGAGGATACGAAATGGTAATGAGTGATTTCGCGTGTAAAGATAAATCTAACGTCGTATCAAATACTCTTACATACCTTATCAAATACTACTGTCTATTACATACCTTGAGAACACACCACTTCCGTTTGGCCCGGAATCCGGAGAGTTTCAACTTTAGTATCCAGCCGGAGTAAAGAGGATTATCGATGGCTAGAGCGGATAGTGCGCAGTTGTGTATAGAATGGTTTAGCGTAAGAGTCTGAGTCTTTGTAGCCTCAGCCAGAACTTGCAGCCATTTCTCGTACTCCTGAAAGAGGGACAGGTATGTTAGGCATTGCTGGAATTCGTCTCACAGGTTCACCAATTTACAGCATTCAAAAATGGATTTAAAAAGGAGAAAATTCCAGAGAAAATTACGGTTAGTAATGAAACTATGGGCCTTGAAAGGAAGAGTCTCGATCTGTTGGAATTCTTTAATTGGGTGGTAAAATGCAAAACATCGCAGGAATGTTCATTACGAAGGTGTTAGAACAGATGCGATGCAAATTTCTTATAAAAGCTAGCTAAAAGTAAAGCTGCACTCTGGCATGTTGGCATGTGCCCAAGGTTCAGCTGATTTTTAGAACATGTCATAGAGCACGCCGCGTGCACTGTTAACCAACTACAAGTGTTGAGAAAGTACTAATAAGTCTTCTCCGTTGGAATGTGAGGCATTTACTTCACTTTTGGAAACGACGCTAACTTATATCAGCGCTGTGTGCCATTGATATCTCACGAGCCACGCTACCCGGCTTTTTATCTTCAAATTTTCAGTCTGCATAACTTTGAATTCTTGTTATTTTTAAAACCATCGATGATTTTCTTAACAAAGAATTCAGCATTCCACGCATAGCTGCTAATAAGGTCTGAGGAAGCCTGAGGGGGGATCAGGCTCCGTCTCACATACCTGGAGATCGTGCGCCGCGAAAAGATACACACTGGAGCCCCGCGTTATCTTGATCACATTCTTTCTGTTTGCGCAAACCGCTTTGCTGTAGTGGAAGGAGGGAAGAACGATCATACCGCTGGGTTGGCTGAAAGTTTAGGAATGTTAAAGAACAAATCACGACAGGAATTATATGATATAGGAGACGGGGTTTGCGGGGATAGCAACGGGAGGGTCTGCCATTAATTGGTTACTGTCTCGTGTGATAATTAAGTATTAGTGAAATTAATAAATACTATGGACTGAATTACTTTGTGGTGATAAATTCAGGGATCTGGATGAACGTATTATTTGTAGATAACATGTCGGATCCTAATCAAAAACGTGACAACAAGACTTAAAAGACTAAAGATTCTAATCTTACCACCGAATTTATGCAACCAAAAATGCAAACATAGAATTATTATAATGCGATTGGATAAATCTGTTAAACACTAATACTGACATCTCATTTTGGAGATGAAACAGGAACATGACGTGGTCATAAGAAGATAATTTCAACTATTTAATGAATTAATTAATTAATTAATTGAGCAATCAATCAAATAATCAGTTAATTACCTCTCTCTAGATTTGTGGTAGTAAAGACAGCCATCTCTCTTCACAACGACCCACTGTTTGTTCCAAAGTTTAATTCCTCCACATTTCGTTTGTCGCTGCAAGTAACCCTCGTGCACTACATCATCTGCAATTGTACATATTATTACTATACATTTTTATAACCTTTAAATAACTTGTTGTATTAATAAAGTCACATTGCGTTAAGTGTACTCATGGTATGTGATTGAATGTTTTAAATTATTAGATTATAAGCCACGGCATCGAGTGCTATATTAATTGGGAACACATAGGAATAAACTTCAAATAAATTGAAATTTGTGTATTTCTTGAACTTGTAGGTAAGCAGGTTATTCTTACATTTCATATCTTGAAATCCTGTACACCACTACAATAGTTTTTACTAAGTATCCAGAAAATTTCAAACATTTAGGGAAGTAGGGAGGGATCTAATCAACTGAGAAGAAAAAAATTTAATATGCAATAATGAGTGGTCACTACTGAGTGCGTGTCAAAAAAGTTCTACATTCCAGAATGTAAGGTATTCAGCATATAATACACTCGGATGTGACAGAAAGGAAACCACAATCAGCTACACGATCTCTAAACTAAGGATGGACAATGCAATAATCGTTTCTGAGAGATCGACTGAGCAGGATGGATTAAGAAAACACTAGGAACGAGGAATCACGTGACAAACCTGCAAGAGTCACGTGACAAACCTGCAAGAGTCACGTGACAGGTTTCACTGGAAAGTAAGGTTCACTTCGGTACGTGTTTTTATAAAACCGGTTGGGAATTGCTATTCTACATCGTAATGCGAGACTCGAAAAAACACATTTACGATGCTTCTTTCATCTTTTCATTACAAATAATGCATTTTCACTGTCTATAATCGATTAAGTATCGTTAAAAGTTAACTTTGAAGAAATAATGACAGTCTACTATTTAAAAATTATTCTCACCAAAGGTATGATAATTATCCAAAGGGAAAATTGATGAAATAGTTAGCGTTCTTTAGGGGTATGTCCAGATCGTGATGTAGATGTGATTATGTAGAGGGAGAGGGAGATGCCGCAGGGGTATTAATACGGATGATCTTTCATCCGAAACAGACAAATTAATGGGAGCTACTTTCAGCTAGAAACTTCCTAACAGTAACATACGAGAGATTGAACATTTATAGTTGCGTTTATTAACGTCGAAATTTTAAGATTCGATTAACAGTGAAATGTGTGAGGAAGCACGGGATGCTAGTAGTGGGGGGAGGGGGGTCGTCATTAATGAGCTGTAGCTGACGTATATTGACGACAAAGCAACGTGTATCATGATGACTTTAATCAAACCAGGACAAAGAGCCAAAATAACTGTAACATAATAGGGATAATGTTCACCGAACACAATTATGTAATGGACCATTCTAGTACAAGAAGAATGCAGCTTAACAACGATACATCACTACTAAGAATAAAGTATTCGACATGACATAACTTGGTCCTTGCTGCAAGAATCGTAAAGCTAAACTAAATATCACCCAGACAGTTTTATGGAATATGCAGCACTAATTATTGTATACCCAAAGCCCCGAAAAGGTAAGTTTGGAATTTGTATCTGGTATTTGCTGGATCCAGAAGGCGGTTTCTCAGTTTCTGGTAAGCAGTAGTAAGAGTAAGCCGTATCAGAAAGGTGATGAATGCCAGGTATCCATCTGAATTGTCAAGGGGTTTTGCGGGAGACTCAGAGAGACTACTCATTTACAACTTTAGAGGGGGAGTTGGTACGTAGCCAGGGGGGGGGGGGGCTGAACCCGTGGTATTAACTAATTACTACACTACAAGTCTATTACATTTATTGAGTATTAGGTAATCAAGGATGGAAACGTAATGGGATGGAAACGTTATAACCAGGTGTAGCTTGTCCACCCTGGCTTCATAATATGAGGAATTTGTTTCACTTGTAGATGAAAAGCTGTAATACTGTACAGTAACTATTGAGCAGTTCCGTAAAACTGGTAAAATAAATGCATCGTGTTGTAAATTGCTAGTAACTATGTGTCGTGTGCTGTGAGAGTGAAACTTTTAATATACAGTGAAGTTTGTTTGGGATTGTCAGTTTAATTAACGCTAGAGTTCGGCGGAACGCCAATTTAATCTTGTTGTTTTATATTATTTCCAACAAAGATCTGATCTCAAGCAAGCCAAGAAGATCTGTATCGTACAGGACTTATAACGTCTAATTAAACACACTAATACACGGGCTTTGTAAATGTCTCTTTCAGTCGAACACTGCACAGGGTCTGTAAGTCTGTTCTCTAATAGCTGAACGATATAAAGGCAACACGTCCATTCTTAACCCGAGACTTGCTGTGGGCAACATTCCTAGCTCCATTGTCTCAAAGTTAACTGAGCTCTGTGGTAGAATCTCGGCCCTATTTATCCTATTTGTAACTAATTCGTTAAATGGGTTAGTTGGTCACATATATTTGGGATATATTTAGAAAGGGTTGAATACACATTATTGAGCATATTTGTTGATATGGGGAAATTCTGGGAATTTGGGAGCGAAGTTGGAACGATTCTATTGGATCATGTTGTGGAATGTTACACTGCAAGATAAACATTGCAACAAGAGGCTTCGATAATGTCTCATAGTGTTATAATCACAGTATTATAATGGGCATACACGTTACAACATCAACTCTCCTACACCCTTAATGTTATTATTGACTCAAGCTAATATACTAGTAACAACTTACATTTTACGAAGTAATGAATATTAATTTATTAACATTGGGCCAGAAAGATAGATTTACATCCACGACAAGAGAATAACTATATTACCATTACAGCGAGAGATAAATTTTAACACGATCTTTATCTTAATTGCTTGGAGCAAACTAAGGTATCCATCGTATTTGTAAAGTAATTAATTTGAATAATTCACATAGTTTTAAATAACTTACTCAAAGTGGGAGGTTGAGGTACAGTTTGGGATGGCACGACTGTTAAGTTCACCCTGTTTCCCTCTGAAAAATAGTCGATTAGCTTTCATTTTTCCTAAATTTAACATTAATTAATTACATCACTAACTACCCTCACTATTTAAAAGGATTACCACCTAATTACCACCTAACTTAAAAGGGTCCCTGTCACACCAACTCAATCCACAAAATTAAAACTCCCATTAAATCACAGGAACATTTTTAGATTTTAACTTTCAACATCGATGACCTAAAATCTAAAAATAGCCCCGCTCCACCCCGAAATTACACACTAACCAGTGCCCCCCGCTTCCTACACTCCTGACACTAACCATTGTGAATTAAGAACACGATCTCTTCAAAAGATAACTCCTGTATGTCTTTACCGTTGACCTGAAGTAGGATCTGCCCCTCTATCAGACCTTTAGACGCGGCAGGACTGTCCGGTTTAACCTGACAAAAGGAAATATGTTCAGAAAAATAGTTTAAATAGTTAAAATGCTTTTAACAGTGTACGTGAATTTAGAGGTAAACCCTGACCAGCAGTCGGTATGTGTTCTGCTGAACGGTTTGGGACATGACAGGTAAAATGCACTACCCAATACCCAACACCTTCCAAACAATGCCAAGTCCCTATTTTCCCTCTAAAACTACTCACTTCATAACAAGGTACCTAAATACTACCATTAGTACATCAGGAATCCTAGACTTCAGGAATTTCCATATTTCAATGAGACCTCAAACTATTTGAGAGCAGGGAATTCAGGAATGGAATTTGCAAGCTGGTGGTGTGGTGGTGCGGTTAAGTAAGGTATGTGGTATGTGCGGTAAGGTATGTGGTATGCACATACTATACATGTGACCAGTATATTAAAGTTGATAGACAAGGAAGTGTAAGAACCCCGGGAACTACAGCTTCAGATATTTCAGGTGATTATGGAAGAAGATCACGCCCCCAACTTGCTGTCTAGACCGGTATTATAGCATAATGATAGGTGGGGATATGCTTGGCATTCTGCCAGGTGATACTATCACGCGACCCCATCATTCTTATTAAATACATTAGGATGGGATCAGGTCACGGGCGATGTTATTTTATTATATATGCAGGAAAATATTCGAATAATTTGGTAATATTTAGGGCGATTAGTCGCCGATATAATATACACGATCCAGATAGCTTTTACTGGTAAATATACCGAGCAGGACAGATAAAACTCTATAAAATAGCGATATTTTAAAAGGAGTGTTAAAAGCTAATAGAGTTGGATGTCACCCAACCGTCACCGTAATATCCTCGCTCTCAAGATGACGTATAGGAATGTGATTACCTGGCGAAGTATGCCTGCTATTTTCCTGCATACTTTAATCTTGTCGGGGTTTCATCATCGGGAAAACATTTCATAGAAAAATTCATCAGAATACCTTTACAAACATCTCCCACACACACACACACACACACACACACACACACACACACACACACACACACACACACACACACACACACACACACACACACACACACACACACACACACACACACACACACACACACACACACACACACACACACACACACACACACACACACACACACACACACACACACACACACACACACACACACACACACACACACACACACACACACACACACACACACACACACACACACACACACACACACACACACACACACACACACACACACACACACACCCGCGGAATGTCCACGGGGAGCGTGTCGTGCTGGAATGTGGTTAACTGGTGGAGGAATTGTAGAGTGGAATGTTAGAGAGATAAGGGATCTGTTGACAGGGACCCAGGCAAACTATGTCATGTTTACTGTTTGGTGTGGAGATGTGTACATTACACCCGCGCTTACATTTGGTAACTACACAAATTGGCGGGCAGTAAAACAGGGGGTATACAGGGGTAACTAGGAAATACTGAGGTGTTTTCTTTTGTATTTTTAATTGCTGGAGTATTTTACATGCGGTCTGGTTCATAAGAGGTACTATGTGATGTATTGAAACAAGTGACATCAGAACACGTGGTGTGACGTCACACCACGTGTTATGACGTCACACCTCGGTCTGGTTCATGAGAGGTACTATGTATTGAAACAAGATATTACTGATTTTATTATAACAGTATTTGAAAGACCATGGGTTTAAAACTGAGGGAAAAACCAAAATATAATGAATCTTTTGTTGTACATGACAAGACGTGTTTCTAAGGATAATGACCGGAACATACTGAAGAAAATAAGTTTCCCAAAACCAGTCAGGTTGATAGAGAAAGAAACAAGAATGAAATAACCACATACATAATTATTAATTACCCCTGCTTTGTAATTCTAATACCACCCAGATAAGAAGGTATTACAGATCCCCGATATTGGACACGCCTATCTGTCCCTTATCAAGGTGTTCTGTTCTGTTTACAGTCCTTAGTGAGTGGCTGCCAAGATCTAGAAAACAGCACTTTAAAGTCATCAACCAGCCCCTCCCTTATATATACGGAGATAATTAGCATTTCAATTATTACATTGGCGCCAAGTTACAGGTCTGAGTGTGAATACGGGTGGTAGCTGCAAGTAACAGGTCTAACAATGGGAACGTTACCCCCTAGCTAAAGTTTAGATGCTATATTATGTTAATATATCCTCATGGAAATGCTCTGATTACACTGACAGCACCATTACTTGCTCATTGTGAAGATTTGCTTATTAATTGTATTGTTATTTATTGGTTATTAATTGTTGATTTTCTATATGATTGACTTTTAATGAGGTTGCCAGTGTAACTAACATTATATTCCCGCGTTAACGTTTGAGGGTTATTGCAATTCTCCAAGTTCATGCTGTTAAAGGAATCCAGCGGAAAAAGAAATGAGTAAAATACGATGGCAAATACGATGGCATGGAGAAAATGGCATGGAAAAAATGGAAAAACGTAAGAGTAAATTGACAGTTATGTCGAAGGTAAGAGTAAATTGACAGTTATGTCTAAGGTAAGAGTAAATTGACAGTTATGCAATATGCACCGGTGTGGAACTATTAAACTGCATGATTTCATTTTAAAGGCATTTCTTTAATATTCAAGCTGTTACGAATTAGCACAACTCTCAGCTTAAACCGTATAAGTCAAACTAGAGTCTTGACCAAACCTTGGCATGGGAATTACTATAAAGCACAAATTAAAACTATATATCATTTAAATTTACCATATCTAAGATGTCAAGGAGATATCTCAAGCTTCGAAATTATGTCTCATACAGGGTCCTGAATACAAGGAGATTTGCTCAGAAGCTTATGAATATTAAATATCATGTATTAATCATACGGCACGTGTTAGTTAATCTCCTCTGAAGCTGTCTCAATCACTTTGGTAATTATAGCCCATAATTTGAATATTCGCCTGATCAGCGCTATCGCATCACTATTTGAACATGGAGTTACCACCTTGTTGTTGTTCAATATAGCAGGTAGAGAATAGCAACTATTCTACATTCCTTCACCTGGCTTTCTCCCATGTGGAGGTATAAATTAAACCTACCACGCAAAAAGAGACTAAAACTACACATCAGACTAATGACAGCTTTATAAGCGTTATATACAGGATGGGCCACCCTGTATCATATGGCAAAACCACTCACAATGTTTACTTCCAAACAACCAACGACTTGGTTCATTCCAGACCAACTTTAACAACTTAATTACCTTGCAGGAGACGCGCACAACAAGTTGGAAATCACGATCCAAGGTTTTAAATACCAAACATGCCGATTGTTACATGTGTAAATGTTTGGATACTAGTGATATTGGGTTCTGAGAAAACCAATTTGAAATATAAGATTGGAGCGTTAACCAGAGTAACGCTGGGAACATGGTACACTATATAGATATATATATAATATGGTACACTTCGCAATGTCATGTACATCTGGTTAGAGCTACCAGTGGCTGGCTGGCAAGATCCTTAGCCGGTAAATAGTTTAAGGAACATCTCAACATATTGATGTAGAGGCTCAGCCAGGTATATAGACATATTAATGTATAGATCATCTAATGTTATGTACACGTCAAAAATGATTAATAAATATATTGAATGATTTTACCGTCACATAATATGTAACGATGGTAATCGCCAGGCTGATCCTGCTTCAGAATTCTCATGATCAAATATTCGGAGCATGATGGGAGCCTTTATCAAATTCCAGGAGACACAATGCGTATCAAGACTACACGTGATATTATCTAAACAATTACAAAAGAATTTGGCAAGCACAAAAAGAATGACATGGTGTATGTAGCTTCGACTTCCCTCTCTCTTTCAACTTGACAGTCCAACAAATGGTCTCTCGAAATGAACTTTATAAACATTTTTTTATGAAGGATTAATCTCCTGAATTGTATACAAATAAAAGTAAAGATGAAGGAGTGCACCTTTCTTACCTCTTTTATCTTGACTCTGTCCTGGGAAGTAAGGTTTGTTGCTGTTCTGATCGTGAAACCAAACCCTCTCTTCGGATCTCTGTCTATGGTGACATGTTGTTCTTCTGAAAAATAGAAGCTGGTTACGTGACATTGATTTGTTTCACCATTGCACCAAGATGCAACACCCGGTTAATAAGCAAAACTTGTTGGAAAAGTTCCAAATAGTTTTGTTCCCCCTTTGTTTGAGAACTTCAAGCGACATTCAGGGAACATTAACAAGCTGTAGCTTTATTGGCAACCGCTATTGTTTCCACTTGCTCTAATTGCAGATTAGAGGAGACGTAAGGAATTTAGGGACAGCAGTCTTACACAAATAAATGTGCTCACCCCGCTAATGGACAGACAATGATTTTGAAAATTCCTGAAATTCTAACAGAACTTGTCAACTTTGAAAACAATAGACTTCCATAGACCGTACCTTCTTGAAGATCAATCCCTACAGTGCCAGTTAGTCCTTTTTGATAATGTGTTCGATGTTGTAAATTTAATATGGGATGAATACAGAGTAAGACATAATTTTCTCAAGGAAACTTCTTTTTTATGAGCTTTGAAAATTAGAAGGTCACTTCCAATACTAGTTGTATTAATAGCTTTAATTTATGCAATGGAAAGATGATCATCTATGACACAATAACCTTTTAAATCTATCAATTGACCAGGTTTTAATGGTTTCTAATTCTCTGATAGTTCTTAGTTGCGCAATGTGCATAATTCTAATAATGTGCATAATTCGTATAAATTGGTTCGTACTCTAATTTCTCACGGTACTACAAGCTATTATGTTTATTAATTAATGGGGCCGGGAGGGGGAGGGGGGGGGTTAATGACGTTTATAAAATTGTTCAGATTGATTGACTGTTAGTGGTCTGGCAACCCAAATACCCAGATTTAACCCCAAATGAGACCCCAATCTTCAGGATTGGTCCTCACAACAAAGTAGGAAGAATATAATGTGATGACAGAGATAATGTCATGAAGATAATCAGGCTCCTCCACACTCCCTCATCTCCTAAAGATAGGGATGATGCAACATGCCAACATGCCATGGTTCCTAGATCCCCCAATTCCACACGTATATTATACTTCATGATATTAAACTGTGGAGTCTAGACGCTAGATATAATGCGGGTTGGTCAGTATTAAGTATCTGAGTGTTTGTGCTTTGAGCGTGTAAGTTGGGCTGTGATCGTATCGACCATGTGTACAAGCACATATTGAATGGACTCGATTTTTACTGGTAAACAATTGATCGGGAAATCATGGGCCGGCATAGTGCCGGAGCGGGTATGATCCGTCAATCTCCGAGTTACATGCTCGGTGCTCTATCAATTGAGCTACTATTGAGCTCAGGAATGAGTGTGTGTGTGTGAACTGTAAGTGAGTAAGTGTGTGGGAGGGGGGTAGGCCGGCTGTGGGGGGTGGAGCTAGGTTACATCTAGATAAGCTGCCTGGTAGTCACTAGGGACTAAGAGACTAAGGATTGGATAGTAATACTGGTTATGATCTGGACTGTAATATTAACAAATACCTAGCACGCAAACATTCCCTTTTAACCTACAAGTTTGCGAAAAAATACCGTGACCAAACTGACAAAAGCATAGAATTTGTAAGTATAAATTTACCAGGCACAGAGAGCGTAGTATCGGAAGTGTGTTCGGAAGTGTTGCCCAGTTTACTAGCGTGATTAAACATGGACTCCATACTCCGGTACATAACGTGGTCGTTAAACATTGTGCTCCCGTGTCTGCCGCCCACTCCGCTGGGACTGTTGAAGATGGCGTGTTCGCTGTATTGTGTACTAATGTGGATACTTGCTGGACGCGCATTGTGCTCCTGGTATCCTGGTCTTACCTGGGGACAGATAGAGTGGTTAGTTAGATTAGAGTTAGATTAGAGTTAGATTAGAGTTAGATTAGAGTTAGATTAGAGTTAGATTAGAGTTAGATTAGAGTTAGATTAGAGTTAGATTAGAGTTAGATTAGAGTTAGAGTTAGATTAGAGTTAGATTAGAGTTAGATTAGAGTTAGATTAGAGTTAGATTAGAGTTAGATTAGAGTTAGATTAGAGTTAGATTAGAGTTAGATTAGAGTTAGATTAGAGTTAGATTAGAGTTAGATTAGAGTTAGATTAGAGTTAGATTAGAGTTAGATTAGAGTTAGATTAAGAAATATTTTAACAAGAAGATAGACATTACAGCCCTCTTACGATACGAACAGACTTGTTATTTATGTTTAATAGTCGGAACAAGAAATTTGGGCGAAATTCCAAATATTCATGTCTACAATTATAGCTATCTCTATTCCTGTCAGTTCCCCTGAACATGGATAGCATCAGATCACTATAGATATTAGATATCAGGAATTCTCACGGCAAAGTTGTTAGTCGCATTATATATTGGACGAAGTGAAATATTTGGGAAATTTGGGAAAATGAGACGGTATCTGTGATTAAAATCACATTAGTGCAGCAACTACAGTAACCGCTTAATTCCTTCGTAACATTCTCCGGATTACAAGAGTAACTTGCCCTCTCATGCTCAATCTAATCTCTTCAGGGTGTATAATTAAACACATGCACTTAGTTTATATAGTCACATACTTACTCGTAGTATCGGGTATAAACGATAAAGAGCTTTAATATGTAACTAGTCTGGCCATTTTGCTGATTAGAAACTCAGTCGGTTTGTGGTTTAACAGACACTTTGATAAAAGTTGCAAACATTTTCTGGAGAATCATACCAATCAAGTGCAGGTGTGATGTGGCTTGTTTATTAATTATTGAAGAAGGGTATTACATTCAAAGCTTACAATGGGCAGCATTCTAAGAGCACCAGCGTAGTGCAAACTATTGAAATATTTCACTTTTGTAACCAGAGCCCTTACATGGTCCTATAATTGCAACACAAATATTCCGTAACTAAACAAATATTCTCACTTGTGAAAGAGGTTCCATGTTGAGTCTAGGAGGTATGGAAGGCTCGGAACGGCAGTTGAAAATGTGAGGTCTCATTCCGTGTATGTTGCTATAACCCTCCTGGTCCAGAAACCCGAAGGACCTGTCAATCATTCTCTGTTCTCCATCGTATTGTAAGTTACTTGCTGAGGGGACGAATTGTATTAGCCGAATCAATTCATTGGGTAAGTAATAAAACGGATTGTAAATCAAGTTTCCTGTTTCCCATCACAGGTACTATAAACACACATGATTTTCATCATGTACTAGATTATGTTTATCAAGATAGATTTTAAGTAATCTCAGATGAAATTATTTTAAAGCAAACCTTGGCTTATAGCCAGGGGAAGGGATACCCCACTGTCGTGACACTCGTCTGGTGAAGGTTGTTGTTCAACAGACCATCTGTTGTTAGGGACACAGTGTAACTGAAATAGTGGCATTTCCATCAGACATATAAGATAATTAAATGTTGCTATGGGTGTATCATTGGAGACTGAACTTATTTTGCAGATGATTCAGGAACCCAAAATACGAATTCAAATAGTAATTATGAAAAACAGTATGATATCTTTTGGCTCTCTTTACCTTGTCAAGATATGAGTATTCAGATTTTGCTCTGGACTTCATTGGTGCTTTTCCATTACTCTCCCAAGATCGTTCACCAGTAAAACGGTCTGATGCAACTTCAGCTCCCAGAGGTGAGGAGAAATTTGCTATATTCAGTCGCTCAATATCCCGCCTAACTATGTCCTCTGCATCCATTTGCTGTGTGAAGGTCATTGTGTTACATTCAAACTTGTGACTGCAATCAAGGGGTAACTTGCTAACATAAATAACAAGTTAGTTGTTAAATAAACTGGCAACACGAGGCAATTAAATTGTGGTCCAAAATCTTAATCTCATATAATAGCAATTAGCAAACATTGTAAGTGATTTGAGATTATATGATCAATTTTATTTTCAGGTTGGACCATTCAATGAAACTAATAAATCAATGAAACTAATAAATCAATGTTTTAGCTCATTTTACAAAGTCAAATATTTAAAACAATTAAAATTGTATAGTGCTCAATTTGTAAATGACTAGTTGATCTTTGCTATTGGAAGTTTGTCAAGGACTGGCAGCTAGCGGGGCAAGGAATGCACGGGCTTAGGGGCTTTTGTGCACACCAGAACACTAGCTCGGTAGATTTTTGGAAACTAGAAGGACTGAAAACTAAAATTGTTTTTGATGGAGGCTGAAGCATGTTTTTGAGAGGGACGGTATAATAGCTTGTGGTAACAACTGGCCTTTACTTTAATAGGATGAAGTTTTAGTTTTAGGACAGGAAGAAGGCATTAAGAAGATTTGCTCATTGGACTAGGTAAAAAGGCATTAACGTATTTGCAAAACTATTACAGCACCTGTACAGTGAAGTAGCAGGCAGATAATTCATAGAAGTTGTTGTTATGGAAATGGTTAACACAAAGCTGGTTGCAAGAGTATGTACTATTTAAACACACCGGATTTGTGGATAATGCTGAATTGTTGCCCTCAGGTTGAAGTTATATTCAACCCAACAGTTATATGTTATCTCTTATCAGTGAGAGGTTCCCAGGGAACATCAAAAGAGACAAACTACACTTATCTGTAGCCTTTAACCTTATTCCAGGGATAGAAGACCAATGTGTTATATCATTATTTATAACAATGCTTTTATTTAGGACAGGATGTCAAGTTTCGTCTCCACCTAGTGGTGAGTTTGTATGTTTTCGAGTACTATGTTTTAGAGTAAGTTATTAGCCATTTTATAAATCCCGTTTTATGATGTATTCTTGACTATTGAGCAATGAATATTGGATTATGTATTTCTAATACGTTTTCTATTTCAGATTGTTATAACTGTGATTTGGTCGTTTTATTGCATTAAACATTGGTAGCAGTGTGCAATATACGAAACGACGATGAAGAGGAAAGCCAACACACCTAAGTTCTGTGGTGAGAACTATAAGCAATACAAGAAACTCTGGGCCCATAACACAGACGTATCGTAAGTGTGAAACAACCGTGGGTGTCACAACCAACAACGTGATACTTGTATCACTTCGTGACCCCCATCGTCGTTTCACTATATACCCCTGTAGATTTTGTACGATACAGGGGGAGCCGCTCACTCGTGCGCGGCGGGTCAAACACCGTCAACCGTATGACAAATATAAAGCGAGACGTATGACAAATATAAAGCGAGACGATATATACATTTTACTGACTGCTGTATGGTGGCCGAGGAGAGTCATTTTAAAAAATAAAATAAAAAACCATACTCACGTGGCCGAGAAGGGTCATTTTTTTAAAATGGCCCTGCTCGGCCGAGCAGGGCCAAACAATATGACGCAAAAATGGCCCTCCTCGGTCATTGCCGAGCAGGGTCATTTTAAAAATAAAATAAAAAACCATACTCACGTGGCCGAGGAGGGTCATTCGGCCGAGGAGGGTCATTTATAAAAATGGCCCTTCTCGGCCATGGCCGAGCAGGGCCAAACAATATGACCGAGGAGGGCCATTTCTTCGTCATATTGTTTGGCCCTGCTCAGCCATGGCCGAGCAGGGCCATTTTTTAAAAATGACCCTCCTCGGCCGAATGACCCTCCTCGGCCACGTGAATATGGTTTTTTATTTTATTTTTAAAATGACCCTCCTCTACTCGGCCACATATACTGCTGACACCACGGCATCAAGTTTAATGTGACTTTCCGCAAAAACCGTAAAAGATATATACAACTGAAACTTTTTTGACTAGGTCAAATGCTTTTTGACATACGTTTTGATTCACGATGTCAATCCTTCGCATCTCGCCGATCTGCATACGTGGTTGCGAGAAGCATTATTGGATGCGCGCGCGCGACCCAGTAGTGCATCGCGCTACAAACATACGTTGCATGCCACTTTTCGAAGCGCGCGCCGCCGAAAAAAAATGCTTTAATGTTTAATGTTTAAAATGTTTAAAATGTTTAAAATGTTTAAAATGTTTAATGTTTAATGGCCTTCAAATGGCGTCAAAAACGCAAATTAAATAGGTAATGATTATTTTAGTCTCTCGAGTCTTGACACCACTTTAGGGTTATACGGGTTCCTCATGCTAGTAATTAATTACTTAATTGTTATAATTAATTATAACAATTAAGAGTATCACTATCACCCGTTAAGTAAGTATTTGACTGTTGACGTCGAATTCTGATGCATTTATACTTTTATTTATATAAAAAATGTTAACGGGTGATACTCGTAAACCTACAACGCACTCGTGCGCGGCGGGTCATATTATATACAACGTATGACAAAGCTTGAATTGTAGTTTTATAACCTACTTGTATCACGGCGGGTCATACAACGTATGACAATAACCTACCAGGACGCGCGCCGAGTTGGAATCGTCGACGGTCCTGAAACAAATATTTTACGAGTATCACCCGTTCATAGCTTGAATCGCCGTAAGAAATTGGAGTAGTTTAGCTCAAACTTTTTAGTGTTTAGAAGCAATTATTATACGAATTACGCAGAACAAAGAACCAACGAGAAGTAAAAACCAATTATAAAACCTGGTTAATTATTAATAGATGAATCGAAAAGTGCCATTGGGCATTGATAATTTAAGGAGTAGGACGGTAGGATTTTACTAATTCACTCGCCAGCGCGCTATCACGTGTTTTTAATGCCGTGATTTCATTGGTCACCTCCATAGCGCGCATTATTTGTGACAGCATAGTTGTTTTTACACAATTTGTGCAATAAACTCAATCTAAGCTCCGATTTGTGACCGAAATGGGCCATAATATGGTTTATGAAACGCATGGCCTGTAATTAGCTAATTGAATTATAGGCACTATGCACTATATAAGGTTGCACGAATTCACGAATTATCAATAACATTGCAATATGAATAACATTATTCCTGCAAGTTTTGATTCAATTTCATGTAAGGTTTGTTTGATTCAATTTCATTTAAGGTTTGTTTTCAGTTTTGCATCGCGAACAGATACCTGATACCACAATTTGAAGTTGTTACACGGCCAAGGATAAATCTTACACTTGTTTAGATTTGTAGCTCTGTTTATCAACGATGAGATTTATGAAAGGGCAATTGAAATTGAGATCGATTTGCCTCTTAAACGTGCCTCCAACTGTTAAATAGATCAAAATTCTACATTCTACCAGATTCTTATCTACCTAGATTCTACCATAATAGTCGATATATTATATACCAGAGCACGTCACATTTCAATAATTTTACAATATGTTATTATATCACTATCAGCTACATATGTTTGAAGGATTAAAACACTTTTATAACGGTGCTGTTAGAATAACAGAATATTTACGCTATAAAACAGTTGACATCAAGATTATTATAACATTACCAAACTAAGTAAAAAATAACAACTGTCCAATGTCCTAACCATGGACCTAACCAAAAATGTCAATAAATATCAGTCTATTCGAAATCAAAGTCATATCACTATGAAGACCCGCGTTTTAGCCCGGTAGGTGAGGTATGATAGAGCCGGCCAGCCCGGTAGGTGAGGTCCAGTAGTTGCCCGGAGGCGGCGTAGATTTGGGTGATGAGGTCTCCTCCTGCCACGTTGTACATTCCTTTGTGTGGTTCCTCCTTCTCTCCTTCCTCTTCTTGAATATCTGAGGGGGGAGGGTGATCACAGAGTAGAGAATATATAATGAGGGATATTTTATAGTAGTGCTGTCACGTGACAAAAATGAGTCATTACTTAGCCACGACTCGACCTGTCAACCGTTTTTGGAGAGGTTTATTAACTACTTCTATCTTACTCACTATAATTACTGCAGTATTAGATCAGGATCAGAGACGGGTTCAAGATTAGGATATTATATAAGCTACAGGAAAAGAAGATTATTTTTTATTAACGGCACTCTTCCCACAAACACCACATACCGGGAAGAACAAGTCTAATTTTAGAGGCTGGATTTCCGTCCAGCCACATCAGTGCTCTGAATAACAGCAGGACGTTGATGTTCCATGGTCTGGACTAGCGTACCAACTTTCCACCCAGGGATGGAACAAGAGCTCCAGCTCGTACAAACTGGTCTTGACCAGCGGAAGACCAGGACAGAGGAGTTCTATCAGTTTCTCTATCAGAAGGATTAGGTCCTCGTAGGAGCTGGAGCTAGCAGGGAGGTCTCCGTACATGCCTGACCATTATGTTGGTTAGAGAAATACACCAAACAATCATTAGTTTAACAAAACAATTATTACAACAAACAATTATTAATAAAGTGAGGTTATAACTGTAAACTTGTTACACCCCGCAATATTTTAAGTTATGATATTAAGTTTAACATAAGTTAATAGAATATTATTATATTAGTTACGATCGATTGTAACAAACCTGCAACATGACATTATTTATACAGGGAAGCCTCCGGGTGAGAGGATTCCGTACCATGGGGGGACTTCTGGCATCGTTCCAGGAATTTCTTACGCTCTTCTCGAACCTTCTTCATGTGCCGCTGAATCACTTTATTACCCTTATTAAGTTTAACTTTAGTCCAAGAGTAGATTCATAGAAAAAGTAACCAGTAACTGATTCCAATTAAACTAAAAAGTCATTAGGTACTAGTTACTAGTTATTAGTTACTAGTTACTATACTAGTTACTATAGTAGAACAATCATAGTAACTAGTATAGTAACTAGACTCTATCATTAATTGTAACAAACCTGCAACATGACATTATTACTGCCCGGGCAGGAGGATCCAATGAAATTACCCCGGCAACCAGTTGAAAAGCCAGGTAATTGATAAGAAAATCAATAACATGATACAACAATCCTGAGTCGAGTTAAGAACCTAAGGTTTTTAGGTCTTGATGTCATTTAGCGCTCAAGAATGCCAACAGGGAGTAACAAAGAATGATAAACCGAACATCCCAGTTGAATTTCTACTGCAAATTAACTTGAACACACGTTTGTAGGGTACCACGTGACACGCAATCTGGCCAATAAGCTATCGAATAGCAGTCACGCTGACCAATCAGAGGGCTGGCTGTTAGTCGGGTGCGGACCACTTATGCCAGTCTAGCTGACGCCAAACAACTACACTGATACACTCAAATTTATAATTTCCAAATGTGGAGCTCTAAAAGAACAAATAGGAGCCTTGGTTACTACACCCGAATCTATGTATTACACATCAAAAAGCTTAAACCAAGATTATCCTAGAGATATATCTCCAAATACCATTCAAGTAAGGTTGCGTGAGGGAGGGAGGGCGGGAGGGATGGATGGATGGAGGGAGGGAGGGAGGGAGGGAGGGAGGGAGGGAAGGAGGGAGGGAGGGAGGGAGGGAGGGAGGGAGGGAGGGAGGGAGGGAGGGAGGTGCGTGTTTCTTGCAGATCTGCACAAGGATCCCTTCAAACATATCCCATGCAGCATCTTGGCTAGTTGAAGGGTTGGTTACTGTCGACCAGCCTACAGTAGTGAGTTCCTTGTTGATCAAGGCCCAGTCAGCAGCATTGAAGTTGATGTCATCAAGTGCTGTGACAGGGCGCTGTACTGTTTCAGCTTGCTGGTTGCTCAAGTAGGAACTGCGGGTGGAGGAAAGTACAGACTACAGGTCACTATGACGTGGTCTGATTTCTCCGTCTTTGACACTGATAAACCGTGGATTAAATCGATATTGTTGGAGAGGATCACGTCAAGGATGTTTTGGTCCTTCCTAGTGGGTTCGTCGACTAGCTGCTCTAGGAAGTTTGAAGATATGAACTCCATAAAGGCTAGTCCCGAGTTCGTGTCGGAAGCCGATTTGCTGGAGTTTGGTTTGATAGACTTACTGGACCAGTCTACAAACGGCAAGTTAAAGTCGCCTGCAATGTAGAGTTCAGGAGAGCCAGGGAGGTGGTCTATAAAGTCTTGAATCACACACAAACAGTCATCAAACTTGTCGACTGGTGCCTGTGGAGGGCGGTACACGCCAACAAGGAGAAAGTTACTGCTAG